ATTTCCCGGCTTTCCTTTAAAACCAGTTTGTGAGATACCTTACTCTGCCTCATATCCATTTACGATGATATTGATGGCAAGATAATGATGGCTGAACTTGCATCTGTCAGCAGACATCATGGTCCTTAAAGATCCAGCTTTGCCCCTCAATATCAAGATAGCTTGAATTATTTTATTAATTACTTATTTGCCATGGTCATAATAAGTGTGCAGAAAGTTACAAAACTTGCTTCTTGTTATTCAAAAGTTTGCAGATGTTTGAATTCTTATTAAAATGATGATTTGTTAAGAATACACATTTGTATTCAGCTGCTGCCAATTTGTATATTTAAGGTGTAGTGATTTAGGGTATCAAGTCATATTAGGTGTAATTCAGGATCAACTTGTTGCCAGTTTAAGCATGTGAAGATTATAGTGTATCATAAGGATTTACTCATTTTCAAAATAACCAATAGCATGTGTCTGGTATATTTGAAAGGGGTCCCTTTTACCGAGTGACATGGACTCAAATTGGCAATAGGGAGGAATGCCAGCGTGTGTGATGGAACACTGATACACCACTGCGGATGGCCCCATCGGTATGGCAGCTATGCCGTGGCCTTTTATGCCTGGCCTATGCCATCCACACCACTCTCCTTCTCTCCCAACCCGCCCTCCCCTTCTTATACCATACACCGGGAATAATTTGCGTATCGTAAGGCTCCGTCGTCTGTCCAAGTCCTGTCTCGGCTGTAATAATCCAGAAATTCTGGCGCTGGATAAACATAGGACCTTGCTCGATATATTGGATAGATTTTTGTTTATACAGCCTGGTAAGAAGCATGACTTCTTGTTAATTGTTGCTCATTCCATTCTCCAGTTGTTTGTGCTTGTTTTATTTTGAGTGAGTCGGTCCACATCTACTACGGATGTCTTTCAACGTGCATCTTGCTGCAGGGAAGTTTGATACCGTTGTTGTCCGTCGCATGTTCTTCTTATATCCATCCCACTCTCTTTCTTTCTTTCTTTGGAGTCTTACTCACAAGATTGTCATTCATTCTGTGTGACCTTTGGCCTCGGAATGCCCCCTGTCTTGGAGACACTTCAAGGAGTCTTACAGAGACGATGGATGCTCCCCCCCCCCCCCCCATGGCATCATTCGGCCAACGTCATGTGACACTTCTATTCCTGGGTCGAGAATGAGAATGTGCATGGTATTTGATAGATTCATTTTCATGTCGTGTGAAATATATTCTTGCATTTGATATTGAACTGGTCGGCTATTTTATTACATGAGAGCAGATACTGCATGCCTCCATAGTTCTTTAATGAACACATTCCAGCATGTGCACAACTTAACTATGTTGTGCATGTCATGATCCTGTCATAGTTATTGAAGGTTTGTTTCTCTCTTCAAATGAGGTTTTGCAGGTTCTTGGCATACTAGTGCAGTTGGCAATCTGTAGCTAATACACCCCTTCACGGTTAAGAGCGCCAGTTTAATTTGCGAGTAAACATTGCGTCATCAATGTTTTCAGACGCGCATTTATTGTTGCGTCACTACCTGCGTTGCACGCTCACATCATATCAACACATGCGCTTTGTATGCTGCATAAAATAAAACCTACTCGCAACATTTACTTGCAATTTTAAAATGGCGCCCATTGTTTACTCGCAATTTAAAATGGCGTTCATGTCGGTGCATGCGCACTCTTGTAACCATGAAAGGGTATATGCTAAAGTTCTCTCCAATGTAGTGTATGTGTGCATGGCTGCAGATGCATTTATTCTTAAGGCTCGATCATATATTACACAGTAAACTGCTGCAAAAAACTACTTATTTGTTGTTGTTTTGTAAATGGATGTCAACTGCACACAACAAAGGTCCTACATGACTTGAACGATGCATTAGTGTTGTATATACAAAAAAGTCATTGCAAAAATCTCCAGATAATTAACAATTTTGACCATTTATTATTTCTCTTTAGTAGTATTAGAAACTCATCAACATTAGGTGTAATTCGTTGTCTTGTTAAATGTTAAGTTGAGATTTAAGACTTCATGCAAATGCAATGCAAAGTGCAGGAAATGCATGTTTAATGCACAGGACATTATCTCCATCCAGTCAAAATGCATCGCTGTATACATGTACATATCAACATGTTTTATGTCTTTATTTTAGCTGATTAGGTTTTATTTTAAAGATGAAGAGTACTTTTTTTAATGACTTTAAAAGAAAGCTTTTCATGTTAATTATTGGTTTTATTTTGAAATCTTTTGTTTTTGTTTTTTGGGCATCATTATGAAACCTTCTACTTCAAGCATGTCAGATTCTCTCCAGGACTTCTGATGGTTTTGTCAAATTTTGAATATCTTTTTTCTTCTTTATCACTTTATTATTTTCAAAGGCTTACAGAAAAACTTTTCTTTCATGTTGTTTCATTTTGATTTGTGTAACCTATTACACTGCATTTGAAGTTTCTATTTGATTTAATGCTGATAAAAAAAGCTTTTTGGATGCATTGATTATTTGGTTCATGCTGCCTGAAAGTAATGCTGCAAGTGAAGTGGTGCCATAGATTGTTATTAACGGAAAAATGCACTTTTGAAACACATTTTCCTTCATTTTTTAAAAATGTGTGGTTGTAAATGGATTAGGTACTCAAATGGTAACAAAGTCTTTACTTTAACAATTTGTGCTGAGAGGTCATTTGGAGGAATTATTTGAGTTACTGGTAATGAGCCATTTTATGAATATTTCTATGTTATGGGTTGAAGTTAAGCAGGGTTGTGGGGACTGATGCACAGCCTCTGCCCCCCTCCAATGTTAACTCAGGACCCCCTCCCCCCAAAAAAAGTCTTTGTACATATTCCCTATCATTGTCATACCAGAACCCTTTGAGTAAAAGTAATCGTGAGCTCTGTTTTGAAGAATTCTATGGTATGGGTTATATCAAGAAATGATCCTAAATGAAGATAAAACAGTTCAAAGTTGGGGTCATTGTGCATTTTAGGTGATGGTTTTATATAGAGTAAAAAATACAAGAAAAATATGTGTCCATCTGCTGTCATAGGATTGTGAATGTCACTGTAAAGAGATATGTACCATTCCTACTTTATCATCTCTGCATCTTGCATACATGACCTTTAACCTCTTTGGAGTCTTCCACATGACACAGATTTTACCCGAAGGAGCAGGAATGTGTTTTGCCTTTACCCAAAAATAAACGTAGTATTTCATCTTTTCAACTCATATACCTGAACAAAGAATGAACACCCTTCTGGCTCTGAACACAACAGGCCTGTCTTCATCAGCTCGAGTTTGCCAAATAACCGGCTGTTTTAACTATCCCAATCACAAATTAGACAGTTAATTTGTGCCTTCATCAGCCCACAGTTGCAATTAGCAGGATATTTGGTCAAGAAAATATCACAAGAAATCTTGGGCTTGTTTCCAAAATCTCCTGCTATTAGGTAAATAGCGGGCTAATTGCGCCCATCCTTTCTAGTTTGTGATGAACGTAACGGTCTGGTGAAGACGAAATTTTGGGATACAGGATAATATCCAGAGTCTAAAAATAGCAGGTTATTTGGCAAACTCGAGCTGATGAAGACAGGCCTAATGTTTGAGTAGTTGTAGCATTAAATTGAAACAAGATGAGTGAAGGATGACGGGACATCTTGCACGTTTAAACTAACTTAAGAGGCATGTTTCAAATTCCAAAGAATCCAGGAACATGTTGTGACAGGAGGTTCCTAGAAGGAGCCCACTTTATGAAAGTAATGGGTTGAAATACTTGTAGATGAAGAAGCGAAGTAATAGCAGATGAAACTCTCTATTCCCTGCTAAGAGTGCACAATAAAGGCTTGGCCAGGGACCCGTTTCACAAAGCCTTTATTTCAATGACAAATTACAAAAATCAGTGACAAATCTGCTGATAACCAATCAGAAGCAAGGATTTCACTAGCTCATAACAGAAACTGTCAATTGTCACTGATGACAAGTTTTGTGAAACGCCCCCTGATGTGGCAAAATGGCTGCGGTTTTTGTAATGATGACGTAAAGTGTAATACATTTCACATTCTTGTATCTTATAACACAGAGCTCAGTGAATACGCGTAAGTTCTTTGTAGCGTGCAGTTGTCTGTATTTTTTCAAGTTTGTAGTATCCCAAGTATATAGGCCTACATGGCTTTAAAGTAAATTCTTCTCTATTTCTAAACACTGTAAACAGTGTGAAGTATCAGCTTTAGCTTCATACAAAGTATTGCCAATATTCATGTTACTTTTGTTTATAGTACAATGTAGAGGACTTTAAGTATGAATTTAAATTACATCAGGCCATCACATCTTCTATATGCTTTTTTTGTTGATATTGAGCTCAACGTTTTCTTTTATTTGGTTGTGAAGTATGAGTTGTTCTTCAATCTTGAACCATTATGTTTTGAATGACATTGTTACCATTTCTTTATGTAAATTTTGGTTATGGTCTTTTTGCTACAGACTATGCAGTTTGGATGATTGTGTGTTAAATTTTTCACATGGTTTCATTATTTTGAATACTTTTTCATTATCTCAAGGCTTTTGACAAAGAAATGCTTTATGTTATTGCAGTTTTACATGAAGTGATTTTTTTGTGAGTTGTCGCTATCATGGCTTCTTTTCTTTGATATTTTGTGAATTCTTGTATGGGTTTGTTCCAAAGCAAAACAGTTTGTTATTCAATTTTTTATTTGTTGCAGATCCCTTCATCTTTATTTATTAAACAGACAAATTTGTATAAAAGGTTTTGATATACATGTAGTATGTCTAAAGATTTTACATGTAAGCGCATATATTTTAAGAAAAATGGAAAGCAAATGAAGCACCACATACTCATTTCTCTGTTAGTATCCTCCGATTATGACTCACATGGCAGCTCTGAGAGTAATGTGAATGTATTGATACATGTATCATCCATAAATCTGACAAAATAATACATGCTCTCTTTTTGTGTGTCTCTTTACCACTACCATAATAGGCCTGGTCAAGTCAACGGAAGCTCAGCCAAGTCTGCACCAAAGTCTCCTTCAAAGCCAGGACCTCCTAAAGTTTCCAAGTAAGTGTGTGCTAATTGCCCCCGTCACACCCCCTAGCTTACTGTTTCTTAATCTGTGGATAGATAGGTAGCTATAGGGCTGGATTCATGATTTTTTTTTTTTTTTTTTTGGGGGGGGGGGGGGATATTTTTGTTCACCAGTGGGGGGGGGGGGGCTAGGGGGGTGGTTGGTCACTAGTAAAAGAGTCATCAGTTGAAGGGGTGCCTTTTATCTCCAAAAATTTCTTTCAAGCCAACAACAAACAAACAAAAAGTGGGTTTCGACCCCACAACCCGCCTCTGGATCTGCTCATGTGTCAAATTGTAATTACTATGTTTCTGGTGAAATAGTGAAAAGGGGTAAAAAGTGAAATAATGATTAATCCTCCTGTTTGTATCTTCATACATTTTGGAAATCACATTGCCAACAAAAAAATCTATCAAATATCAATTCCATCCTTACCAAAGCTAATTGTTATTTTCAAGACAATGTTTCCTAATTAACCTTTTTTCTCCAGGAAATCAATTTTCACCTTTGAAAATACTTTTATTAATGAGATGAATTTGACAATGAGATGTGTAAGGCACCATATCCACTTCAAATCAAGTGCTTGAGGCACATTAATTTCTCTAGTTGCAAATTGACAAAATAAAAAGATTTGCAGATAGGACACCATTTTGATTCAATTTGGATTAGACATTCAGAAAACAAGTTAAAAGAAATATTTGTTGTAAGTATATGGAGTACTGGATATGAAATGTAATGTAAACTAGTGTTTTGGGTTTGTAGTTGTTTTTACTATCACTAACTATTTGTTGTTGGTTTTTGATTTGCCAGATTGATTGAAATCACTAATTTGTACACGTGCATGGATTGTATATTTGCTATGTTGATAACACGATGTTTTTGATGTGGAAAATATATAAATTGTGTTTATATGCATTCAGTTTTATATTTGTTTGTATACCTTGTATCCAAGTACACATATTTGCATTAATATTTATGTTAATTTGATAACTGATTAAAGTGAGCATGGAAAGTGAAAAGAAAAAATATTAAATTTCAGACTCCCTAAAATTTCCTTCATCTCACAGGTATTCTTGAGTTCTAGTAATGATTTAAATACAAAATCAAATTTCTCAGAGGAAAGTTAGCATGAAAAATTTAATTTCTAGAGGAAGAAAAAAAAATTCTAGGAAAGATATCCATCAAACAAAAGAATAGAAAGTGGGTTTTATTTGACAAACTGTCTCCTAAGACCTACAAGTATGTTGGTTGTATGTTAAAATGTTTATGAGTTAATGCCCTTGTGTCTCCAAAACAGATGAGATGTTTCATTAGAGTTTTTAATCAAATGACTTCACCTCATATCAGGGTTTTATCAATATCTGATCATCTAGGTAGAATACTTTTTTACATTTTCTATTAAAGATTACCATAGCTCAAGATTGCCTTTAAGTTATCACAGCAGGATTGAACGATCTCGTGGGACATTCTTCACATTGTCCAGTCAGTGTAGTGACACGTCCGTTCATTAACCTAGCCTGACGGCCGTGTCTAGGACCAAACAAGTCCAAAGGGACACGACACAGGAGATTAAAGAGATGGTTGAGTTCTGGTGAAGTTAAAAAAATAACTTGTGAGCTTTCTCTTTCTGAATTATGTCATGTTTATATTGTTCAAAATATTAGATGGCTGTGATCAGCCAAGGCTTCAATTAAACAGAAGAGTTCACTTTGTAACCGAAATCGGATGTGTTAAATTTCACTTTATTGGCCTGGTAGCAGCAGTGGGATATGACCCCATGCCATTAAAATTGGAAGTGCCATTGGCAGTGACACATCCAATCATTAACCTAACCTGACAGAGCCATGTCTAGGACCAAACAAGTCCAAAGGGACATGACAGCAGGAGATTAAAGAGAAGGTTGAGTTCTGGTAAAGATTAAAAAAATAACTTTCTGAATATTGTCAGTTTGGGAAAATGTCATAGTTAGAATATCCCCTGAAAAACAGATTGCCCTTTAAATGCCCTCGTACTTGAAATAAGACAACAAAAAGCCGAAAATTTTTAAACTAATATTTTTTGCTGTGCACTTGATCTTCAGAACAAACAAAAAAACAGAAAAAATTATAAATATTTTGATGCTTCCAAAACTTTAAAATGTGCATCAATTCTTATGAACATGCATGTGTACTACTTCATCAGTCTCTCCCAGTAGCTCCCATAAACTTTCTTCACAGTGCGATCACAGCATGACCAAAACTCAACTTTATCTTTAAAGGTTCAGTAAGACATGATGCAGTATGCAATTGACGATGAGAAGAAAGTAACAAAGGCCCGTACATGTACTCACTTATCTATGTGTTAAAAGATACAAAATGCCCAGAGATTTATTTGTGTTTTACTTGCTGCCCTTTAGCAGCAAATTATATTTCACTTACCTGTTTGAAGTTTGAGTGTAATTTCATGAGGGAGTAGAGGGAAGGGGAGTAGAGGGAAGAGATTAACTGTAGTTCACTGTCATTGTAAATGTCAAGTTCAGGCAAGTTATCTGACGGTTCTGACCAGCCAACACATTTTGTGGCTACATAGAATGCGTGCACATGTGCGAAGCAGGCTCTCAATTAATCTCTTCCCTCTACTCCCTCATAAAATTACACTCAAACTTTGAATAGGTAAGTTATCGTTTGAGCATTCAATTTAGTAGGAGACCAGCCTGTAGGTCCCGTGACCAATCTCTGGGAACAAGGGTTTGAAAGTATTTTTGTGTTCCCTGATGAATACCGAACCATTTTGACTTGGGCTGCCCCCTTGAAAATCCCGGGCATTTTCGTGAGGGGTCAACAAAGGTCATACAGGGTAGAAATTCAAATATATTTCAATCGTGTCGATATGCATATCAAATTACGCGTCTGGTCATGAGGTTTCCAAAAATATCTAGTTTGCTATACCTCCGACCTGAAATAAGGGCGCTATGGTCAAAAACGTTGAAAGGTCAACACACTTTTGACTGGTGGTCAAATTCACCAACACAGTTAACCTTATCAAATTGCATATCAAATTACTCGTCTGGTCATGAGGATTCCAAAAATGTATATTTTGTTATACCTCCGACCTTACATGAGGGCGCTGTGGTAAAAAAGTTCAATGCACTTTAGAAATTCACCAACACAGTTAACATTGTCCGATTCTAATGATTTAAGGGTCTAATAATATGTTTTCTGACATGGCAAATTCAACTATACAACTTTCAAAAGTAAAAGTACTTACCTTGACCATGTACATTCAAAATGGCTGCCGTTTTGGTGACAAACATCTAACAACTTCTTATCCATGGGTTTGAGGGAAATTTAAAGGTTATGGCAACCCCTTTTGATTTTAAGATTTGCTTAGTTGAACAAAAAACACTTTCAAACCTTTGTTCCCAGAGATTGGTCACGGGACCTACAGGCTGGTCTCCTACTAATTATATTGTTAAAAATATTAGATGGCTGTGATCAGTCAAGGCTTCAATTAAACAGAAGAGTTCACTTTGTAACCAAACCGGGATGTGTTCAATTTCCCTTTATTGGCCTGGGCCCCATTTCACAAAACTTGTCATCAGTGACATATGACAGTTTTTGTTATAAACTAGTGAAATCCTTGCTTCTGATTGGTTATCAGCAGATTTGTCACTGATATTGGTCATTTGTCATTGAAAAAAGGCTTTGTGAAACGGGTACCTGGTGGCAGCGGTGGGATATGACCCCATGCCATTGAAATGACTCTAAACTCACACCGGTGTGAAGTTCACCATGCCTTCAAGTAGACCATTTAACAATAATAATAATAATAATAATAATAATAATGTAACTTATATCGCGCCAAATCCACTCTGTGGAGTGCTCAAGGCGCGTGTAAACAGGAAAAACGATCAAGACTTGAAAAGGAATGTTTTGAGATGAATTTTGAAAGAATCAGAAGATAAACATTTTACAATATCCTATTCTCTTCCAGGACATCCAGATAGATGGAGACAAGATCAATTTAGCTCTGGTTGGATTTAATCAATTGTTTTCTTTCTTTCTAGGAGATATTTCATTCCCATTTCTAAGGTGGGATAGTAGATTGACACCTAGCCTCGAGTCAGCAGCAGAAGAAGACAATTTTTTAAACATCAGCAGTTGAACCAAAGTCTATCTATGTTTTAATGATAAGCTGTACATATACATGTAGTTAAAATACACCAGGGCCCCACTTCACAAAACTTGTCATCAGTGATAAATGACATTTGTTGTTATAAGCTAGTGAAATCCTTGCTTCAGATTGGTTATCAGCAGATTTGTCACTGATTTCTGTCAGTTGTCATTGAAAAAAGGCTTTGTGAAACGGGTCCCTGGTATAGCTCCTCGTTGTGATAACTCTTTGTGGGCATGAAAAACAATTATGTATTCAAGAAGACAAACATAAAATCTCAGGATCATTGTATCATGTTTACACTTGAACAGAGTTTAATGAGTTACTGTCAAAGCAAGAACTTGATGCCTGCATGAACTTTATATGAATTTTTCAAATTCATCCAGATTCTCAAAAGTTTCATGCCAATAAAAAATTGATTCATAGTGATCATTTGCGCGAACTAGCAATTCATCTAGCTTTCCTGCAGTGAAAATGTCTGTCATTTATGATTCACAAATGTTTCATGTATAAGAAAGGTTTTTGTGTGTGTGTGTGTGTGTGTAGGCAACAGATTATGTAAAACTTATGTAAAGTACTGTGACACATATGAAATGATATTAATCATGTTGTATTGGAAATGCAATGTTTATGTCATAATGAGGTAGCAGTTCTGATGAGAATATATGTTTATACAGTGATGGCGATCAGGTACACCAGAATGGGGCGTCCACTGCACATCTGTCTTATTCCGCGCCCCCTCCGCCCGAGCCAGCAAGCTACGACACCCCGCAGGCGAACTCTGATTGGCCTGCAGACACAGCATCATTCCCAGACCCGCCCTCATTCCTCACAGAGCATGCTCCCATCACCTCACACAGGTACTGTTATTATGTAATACTAACACCCGTCCCTTTAAGTCCATCGTTTATCAAATAATCTCAAGATAATATAATAAACTAAGGAGGAATAGGTTGAACAGTTTTATAAAAATACTGTATATTAATACAAATTAAGATTCCCTACAAGGATCATGGGGGTTGGGTGCAAAGAAAATCAATTATATTTTTTAAAGTCTTCCAAAATTCATATCAGAGCAAATACGTGTCTGCTCATGTATCACTTTACCTTTTTCAGTAACCATGTAGATGTAGTGTGATAACTACCATCTTTAGTAGAGCCTTATAAAGTAAATAAACAGACACTTTTTTGTTTTAGTATATAAAAGACAATTTGCCTTCAGAGGTAATACAAGTGGAGTTTGCACTAAAGACCTTATATTCTGCACACCATGGCTGCTAAAATATATGAATACTATATTCTGGATGGCTTTTACAATGTCATGTTAAACTTTACCAACTATTTTAAACTGGTACATGAACTTTAGATGTGTGTATAGCATAGCATAGACTATATGTACAGTCAAACCTGTCTATAAAGGCCACCCAATGGAAACACAGAATGTGGCCACTACAGATAAGTGGCCATTCTAGACAGGTTCTTCAACACAAATTTTTTGCTTGAAGGAGACAAAATACATGGCCGCTATAAACAGGTGGACTTTATAGAGAGGTAGCCACTCTAAGACAGGTTTGACTGTATGCACTGTAACTAGAGGGATGGCACATTCTGTTTTGCTTCTCGTTTGTACCATGTATGTCATCACTACTAATAATCCTGTTGTATAATGTTAATTCTAGAAGGACGTAAATCCATATTTGATAAATGTCAAATTTAAAAAAACATAAGCTTTTCTTGATCGGCTGAGAAATAAGAGGGCATTATTGTTTGGTCCTGTTGGTGTGACAGGGATATCAGGGGGCATTTAATCAGAGATTCAACAGTATGATGATGAATTTATCTAAAAAGTTAATTCATGAGTTGACCTACTAAATGGACAAGCCCTTCTGGAATTAACAATATTTTCCCCCTTCATCTTTTGGTAGAGTTTCTCATGTGATGTGTTAATCCTGTTCTATAACTGAAAATTCAAATTCAAAGGCAAATTTTAAAACTGCTTTCAAAGAGTGTGCCTTTTCCCAGACTTTGGAAGTAGCAAGTTTCATATCTATCCTGGTTGAATTCTTTTCTCAAACAACTTGATTAAACACTCTTTTGATGTGGCTCAGACTCTCTTAAAGGCTAACATCAAACAATTTCCTTTTCTGCCCTCTCCATATCATGCTATAGCATGGCATGTATGGAAAAAGAAAAAAAATAAGCAAGCTATTTTTAAGGATATTTTTTCCTGTAGAGATATTTTTCTCTACCTGATGAAAACAAATGAAGAAGTTGATTGGCTTGACACTTTATACCTATCTTTGATAGGTAGGCCTACAAATTCAACTAGAGAAAGACTGTTTTTATATGTTTGGATGATCAAAAACTATTGATAGGAAACTAGAATCAGGGTTATCTTACAAGGATGATGTAGAATACGTCTGTTTGGAGCCAGAAGGGTGTTAACTGTGCATTAAAGTATATGAGTAAACACAAAGGGTGGTATTTTCGAAAGCAGACTAACTTTAGTCCATGGTTAAATCCACTGACTAAGTATGGAATGCCAAGTGTCCATATAAATATGTTTTTGAATAATTTAATCTGTCACTAAATTAAAATAAAATGTAATAACATAATTAATAAACAACAATATAACTATGATATAATTATGTTATCATGGTAATTTAGGGACATATCAAATTATTAAAAAATATATTCATATGGACACTTGGCATTCCATACTTAGTAGGTGGATTAAACCATGGACTAAAGTTAGTCTGCTTTCGAGAATTCCACCCTATGATTAAACACAAACTTCCTTCTTGCTCCAAACTTACGAAACGTCCACAGGGGTAGTAAGCATTAGTTGCAGCACTTAACCCCTTGCTTGTAACACGTCAGTCACTCATCATCCCTATCACCATCCTCCCCCACTAAAATAATACCTCTCGGAAACAAAAGCAGGAACGGTAACGGAGACACAACCGACTCTGGTTACTCGGACCATCAGCAAGACGATTTACCCGCGCCGCCCTCATCGATGACGACGGGTATTAAAGCAGTACTCAACGCCCCAGAGCCGTGGAACCCCAGCGAGAGTTACACCTCGCCCGTCATCCGCAGTGTTAGGGCACCCATGGGCAAGTCGTTGGCAAGGTCGCCCTCTCCGGCTGATTCTAACAGGTAGTTTAGGCCCCCACCAACTTCCCTCTCCCAGATCTCTTCCAGCCCCGCCCATCTCGCTCAATAGCCGTCCATTATCATTACTACACAAGTCTACTCCATACCCATACCTATTTAACTCATGTTTATAACCAGTGGGCCCTGTATATAATCAAGAACTCTAACATCAGATTATTTATCAACATTTAGTTCCTAAATTACCTTCATACCATTATGTCATTACAATAAACCTCATAGCAGTAGAGAATATTCACAAATGTTCACAAATGTAAACGGTGACATTAATTATGTGTGACATTTGTGTGTGGCAGTTCGCCCTAGAAGAGAGAGACAGGATTTTTGTAGGGATCACTAATTTTATTTATTTGATTTTTTATTTGATTTTCAGTTCTCAACGATCTTCCATTCTTTTTTTCAAATCATCCCTTAATCATATGTTTGTCTTTAACCTGTTCAAATTAGTTATTCCTTGAAGTATATTGTCTTTGGGTGTGAATAAATAATTTTCTTTAAGGGAGATCATTAGAAAACTTGAATGAATCCGTTATTGTAACCTTGGTAACCTCTCATTATCAGGGTTCGTGTTAAATGTGTTGGTATATTTCTTGGAAACCTAACATTTATTTATTTCAGTTTGCTGTAACTTGAAATCTTACAGTTGTAGTCACATTATTCATATATAACTTAATGCACATTATTTTATATACTCACTGATTCTGTTTTCTTTTGCAGGATAAAAGTTTTTATTTGTGCAATCGCATTACCTTTAATTCTCTTCAATTCTTTTTCCTACGACATTTGTATATGATTTTGCTCTCTTTTATATTTTCTTTTCCTGTTTAAATTTGTCTTTCTTTTTTGCAGCTTTGCTTTTATTCTTTCTTCCTTTGATCTCATTATTCTCTTTCTTGTTTCTCAAAATATAAAATGTTCAGGTTCACAAGTCATTTATGATTGATTTATGAGTCATATCTAAAGTTGTGTTTACCCTCTTAAAGCAATGATCTGTCAAGCTTTTATCTTTTCATCTCTAGATTCTGTCAAGTCCAACAAATCTCATTTAATTTCTCTCCTTGTCTTTCTTGCGTTGTTCTCTTCATGCTCTGGTTTCATTTATTTTCACCCATATAGATGCCTCTCCTGCAATATTCAATAATCTGTATTATTCACGCTTAATTTCTTTTTATCTTTATGTTTATCTCTAATATCTATCTAACCTCCTGCTTTCTCTTACAAGTCTTATAAATACTGTTTTTACTATGTTTCAAAAAGAGTTTTTTTTTTTTTTTAAATCAGACCCCTCCCCTGTCAAACCAAAAACTTTATCTGTATCTCCATTACAGTAACTCACAAGCAAAACTATAATGCGTGAAAAAACAATTAATCAACTATTTTGATAAAAGTGTTGTGTGCTGTTAGATGAGAAAAATATATATTTACTTTTTAAAGCATTGCAACAACAATTGCACAAGTTTTACAGTGTGACTTTAGGAATGCCTTGTATGGGTGTGCAGTTTGAATGCTTTTCCATTTTTCTTTTCAAGCCAATTAAGAAAATAACTTTGTTTTTCTATTTCTGTACTCTGCTCCTTCTTAAACTGCAGCTCAAATTTCTGATAACAAAACAGTTTGACAGTGTTTTTAAAATCTGGATCCCTCCATATTTTGTTCCTTTATTTATCTTTCATTCACCTTCTACTGCCATCCGTTCTATGTATATTTGTTTTATTATCATAGTAGTTTGAGCACATTCCTCACAAATCATTTCTTCTGAGTTTAACATTTCCTGTCACCATTTCTTTAGTTATCTGCCATCTCAATTACACCCATGTCTTTCTCTATCCTTCCTCCTTTCATTCAAATTTAACAACAAATCAGCAAATTTTCAGAATTAACAGAATATCTTACTTTACATTGAGATTTGAGAATGCATGTCTATCTACACACAAAAAGACCCCAAACTTAATTTGTGTAATGTTTCCATATGTTTTTTTAACATATAGCTTTTTAACTACTGTATCAAATGCCTTATCCTTTAAATATGAGGAGCAGTGCATTTGTGCTCAGAATTTGCAAATATGCTATACACTTGAAAGTTCTCATGAGAATGTTCTGTATTTATATTCATTCAAAATCGACCAGATACACATTAGAGAATCGATCATAAATTTGATTTTTGTTTTTGTTTTCCCCTTCAAACTCCTGAAGTAAATGCTTTCATTCATTTTATAAATTTTCAAATTTTTGCTAATAAATGGATGTTCCAGGGGTGGCTAGCCTCTGCACCAGGCTTCATAATATAGGTGTTCTTACTCTTTCCTCATTAGTGGATTCTGTTTTCTGCAAAGTGAAAGAAATGCTCATGAATTTGAATACATCTGAAACCCCTGAGATAAATGCTAATTTATAAAAATGCATTTACAAACTGTTTTGAATACATTTTCAAACTCCTGAAATTAAAGCTCACCAATTTTATGAATGGACGTTCTAAGGGAATCTAGCCTCTGTACCAGGTTTCAAAATATATCTAGGTATTCTTAATCTTATCCTTATTATTGGATCCCCTTTCCTGCTCTGCTAAGTTAAAGAAATGCTCCTGAATTTGAATGCAATCCAAATCTCTGAAAATGCTCCTGAATTTGAATGTATTTTCAAACTCCTTCAAGTCTATGGGCGTGCCAATGATAGTTAGTTTCTGCACCAAGCTTTGTGTTACTATTTTCACTCTTTTTCACCTTGGTGAATTCTTTTTTGATTGCAAAGTGAGAAAAAAAAACGATCGTAAATTTGAATGCATTTTTCAAAGTCCTGAAAAACCTTTGCTAGTAAAGTATATGTATTTTCAAACTCCTGTCATTTAATGGGTGTCTGAGCTAGTCTATGCACCAGGCTTGATATAATCATTTTTTAATATTTCACTCTTTTTTTTTTTCCATTGGTGAATTCTGCCTTGCCTGCACAGTGTCCCTGAAGATGGTGTCAAGGTCATGTTTGTTCCTAAGAATCATTTGGGGTAATCTCACTCATCTCTTGGTTTTGGTCTCTTACTTGCCCCCCCCCCCCCCTCTCTCTCTCTCCCCTCTCCATCTCTCTGTTTGTCTGTCTCTGTTTTCCCCACTCTATGTCCCACTTTCTCTCTCTCTCTCTCTCTCTCTCATCTGTTTCTGTTCCCCATGCCCCTTTCTCTCTCTCTCTCTCTCTCTCTGTCCCACTTTGTCCCACTTTATCTCTATCTCTTTCCCTCCATTTTTCTTCTTTCCTATTCCCATGTTCCTCCTTTTCTCCCTCCTTTCCTCCCTCCCTTCCCTCCTTTTCTCCTTAGCTCTCCCTCTCTCCACCTCCCTCCTCCTCTCACTCCCTCCATCTCTCCCTCCCTCCATCTTCCTACAGATTACACATAAAATAATTTCTTTTTGTTCATGTTTAATTGTTTTTAATTAATTTCATCATGTTGTCACCTTTTGTTTTGTTTGGTTTTCACACTTCCTTCAGAGATTGGATAATTTATTGGTATGATTTCAAATTTTAATTCTGCACCACTGCTAATCGCACAATGATGATATCTGTAATAATCATAGAACTATGTTGATTAACCTGGTTATTTGTATGTACATGTGCATCAGTTTACTCCATTGATAAGTTTTTGTATGATAATTATTGATTAATAATACATTTTAAACAGTCACACATTTTTTAACAGTCTAAATCTTTTCAATTGAATGATTTGATCTGAAATAAAGCATGTGAGCATGGTATGAGAAGAAATATATTAATATTTTGGGATATGTCTATAAATTTTGCAAGACTCTGAATAAAGGCATGTGTGCATCCGTTAAACCAATCTTATTGATTTCAATGAAACATGAATCACTTTGTCAGAATGAAAGATATTTTAAAACTATGTAGATCAATGGAATAATAGAAAAACATAACTTTTGACTTTAGAAAGAAACTTAGTTTGTATCACAAGCCTTTGATATTTGAAAGGAAACATAAATAAGTTGTTTCAAACTTTTGAGCTCTATTTCATGCCATTCTGTATATATTCTGCCATATTGTATACATGATAGTATAGACGTGGCATTGAATAGATGTTAGACTCTTTAAATAATATTTTTTCTCCAAATTCAGATTTGTTTATAAGTCGGGTACAATTTTTTTCCTATTATTTTCTTCGGAAACAAAACAAGGAGAACGAATGGAAGAATAGCAGTGCATAAAGACATATTGCAGATTTTCATCTGGCACTCATAGTAAACCTTTCAAACACATACCTATGCATTAATTTGGTAGTACCATTCATCTCTTTACATATTTTCTTAGTTAATTTAAATTGTTAACAAGTTCTGCTTGTAGTATTGGAATTTGTTTGATGACATTCAATCTTTATACAATATTTCCTCCTTGATTTGATGGTGATTTAGTAAGCCACCTAGTCAGGTAGCAGGCCGTACTACTACTACTACCAAGACCTTCACCACCTCGTACCAGGCTTCACCCAATACAGGTACATGATACATGCTGTCCTCTCCCCCCTCTCCCTCTCCCCCACCCCCCCCCCCCCCCCCCCCCCTCTCTCTCTCTCTCTCTCTCTCTCTCTCTCTCTCCCCCTGTACCTCTTAAGGGCAATCCAACCCTTGTAATAAGACCATTTGATTGAAAGCAGAATGGTGAAAGTTTGAAATAAACCGGACCAAAGAATAGAACTTTGGAGTTTCAACCACCCCCCCCCCCCAAAAAAAAAAATATATATATATATATATATATATATACTAGCAGGACCCGCGGAAATCCGCGGGATTCTAGAGGGGGACGGGGGGTGTAAATAGATATATAGAGACTGTCTAAATTAAAACCACCAAGAACTTTATTTGCCATTCAGGCCATTAAAAAAATATACATGTTTAGCGTCCCCGCCCGCTTCCTTTTGTGGGGCCGCCTCCTATTTTTTTTTTTTTTGAAATTTTTTTGAATTTTTTTTTTTTGTTGAATTTTTTGATCGAAAAAACAGCGTCCCCACCCGCTTACTTTCTGGGGGCCGCCTCTCCTATTTTTTTATTTTTTTTGAATTTTTTTTTTTGATTTTTTTTTTTTGATTTTTTTTTTTTTTTTTTTAAAGAAAAAAAACATGAAAAGCACTGCTAAAATGTATTTCTGATCTTAAAAAAGAAAAGAAACAAATTGTCGGCTGCCATCTTGAAAAATTGCCTGAATGTTAGGGAAAATGTACGGAGCAGCCATTTGAAAGAAAAAAAAAAAAAGAAAAAAAAAAAGGGCCTCGATCCTCTTTCCCATTTTTCAGAAAAAACAGGACGCTAAACATGTTTTTTTTTAAATTTGGCCTTATATAAAAAAAAATTAAAAAAACAATCCAACTGTACCGGTAGTTATTCTTTAAGCCACTGGAACTGCGTAGAGTTCCGTACATGTAGTGTGGCGTACCGACTACGCAGAAATTAGGCTGCGTATTAATGGGAAAATAGTCCCTGCGTAGGTTATGCGTAGGCTGGCGTACAGGTTTGCTTATATGGTTGCTTACTGTGTGGAAAGCTTTTACTGCTTTGACGATCTGGCGTAGGGTAGCATAGTGTTGCGTAAAAAGGCGTACTTTCTGCGTCAAGTTTCTACGCTGAAAGTACGCGAAAAAAATTAAACATGTTGACTTGTTTTCGTTCATCTTGCGTACCCCTTTCTGTCCCTCAGCATATAGTAACGTAGGCCAGCGTAGTTGGTAGCAACACTACGCAACTCTACGTATTGACCCCACGCCAATTAGTGACCCGCAAGTGTCACAAATAAAGTATTAAAAATATGCTCATCTGACCCTAATTAAACGCCTAAAACCCCCGAGCTTTCGGGGGTTTATGGCCCCTTGAAACCCGTGGACCCCACGCCTATATTGTATATACACTCAACTCGCTGCGATCTGATCTCTCCCCCCCCCCCCCCCCAACTTTGAAGAACGTAACCCCCAAGCTTTTGGGGGTTTATGGCCCCTTGAAACAAATATACACTCAACTCAGGATTTCAGGTTTCCTTCTTCATAATTGCCTATTTAAAAAAAAAACATTTTTCTAGTTCAATAACTAAGTTTTCATGCATTGATTTGATGCAAGAACTGTAACATAATAGACCCTAGATTGTGATTATTTCTGACCATAAATTTCGATAATTATTTTTCAAAGTAAAATTTTCACAAGAAAATCAGACAGTCGTTTAAAAACGTAGACATTAGTAATACTTTTACTAATTCTAAGCTCAGGTTTCGTAAATCTATTCACGAAACTATATTGAAATCGCGGCAATAATGATGCAAACCAACAGATAACAATTGTGTCAAATCTCTTCGACTCGAGCTCAGCTCAGCTGTACTCACACACATAACACTCCAGCGTAACTCCACGAAGCTCGAACACCGGCGCCGCAGGCCTCGGACGCCTGCGGTGCCCGGTGCCGGTGTTGGAGATTCCTGGAGTTACTGCACTGTGATGTGTGGTGACTGAAGTTAGCTTGCGACTGAATTGTCAGTCCAATGGTTTTCTTGTCAAAACTTTCCTTTAGAAAATGATAATCAAAATTGAGTATACATGGCCGTAATAATCACAAAATAAGCTTTGTTTTCATACCTCCATTCACGAAAACTATATAAAAATCGCGGCAATCATGATGGAAATAGGTCTCTAAGTTTGGACGTCGACGGGAAGCCCCGTGTATCTCTTGTGCAGCTACTACATGCAAAGCACATCCTAGCTACAACAAAGCACATCCTATAGAAAGATGCTTTACTCTCGGTAATCCCGCCCTTTGCATAGAGCATTTAATACGCAACTTAATGTGAGTGGATAGTCATCGGTCGTGTGTCTACGGATGTCATGTTGAATATCCATGAGGTATCTCTGTCGTCACGCATATCCTGCATTATGCATGTCGCGTCTGTTTTCGCCCTGGACGTCGACATGGAGGAGGATCTCGGGCGGAGTATAGCCAATTCCACAGAGTAGACTCTCCCGCGGACGATGGCACCGGGCACGGGTACCCCGAGGGGAGGGTTCAGGAGGAGATAGCCGCACCAACTTGGGTCGGCGATCTCATTAAAAAACAATAGAATACAAAGGCCGGCGGAGACGTCGCGCCCCCCGCGGAGCCTTAGCGTATTATTATTATAGATATATTTTACTAAAGGTGTCATTAGAGGGACATTTGGAGTGAAAAATGAGTCATTAAGTAGACATTGTGATTAGGAGGACAATTTGGTGTCCTCTTAACGTTTTTTACGTTTTATTTCTTGTGGAAGGCTCAATTTTGTTATATATCTCTCTCTATACATGTAATTTTTACTAAAGGCGTCATTGGAAGGACATTGGGAGTGAAAAAATGAGTCATTAAGTAGACATTAGGGTTAGGGTTAGGGTTAGGGTTAGGGTTAGGTTTAGGGTTAGGTTTTAGGGTTAGGGTTAGGGTTAGGGTTAGGATTTTTATGATGTCCACTTCATGTACCATGTAGGGATATATATATATATATATATATATATATATATAACAATTAGATGAACAAAAGTTAATATCTTGATAGGGATAGTAGACAAATGTGATGTACCATACATAAATAGACAGTTTGTGTAAAGACTTTATGGGTGGTTTTCCATAGGTCACTTAAAGATACTATGTCCCTTTTGCAGCCAACCTCAAATTCTGTAGAACTTTGCAGGAATTATGAATATGTCATTTATACACGCTGTGAAATTTATACATTAGCAGTGTCCTTATATTCAAATTATGCAAGAAAACCCGTTTACTTGCTAGACTTCCCTGTCAGACACTATTGTCAGTATTGAGTGACTGAATGGCTTTTTCTTCTTCTTTGGTAATAACATGTAGGATTTGTCTACTACAATATCCCACTTCTTGTATTGGCCAAAATTAAACTGATTGAATCTTTGCACAGCATAAAACGTATGACCATGCGGTACAATGGTCTGAAAATTACTATTACTTATTGGCTCTATAGCTCCTAAGTCGATTTGACAACTAGTAGTCGTTATTTTCCCACTTAAAGACATTTTCAAACCCCATTCTTTTAAGGGGAGTTCTAAATTAGTATTATCTTTTAAATGCCATTGGAATTTATCCTTTTCATTTTTTTGGCTTGCAAAAGGGTCATAGTACCTTTAATGACTCAGGGATATTTACCAATAAAAACTGACTGATTGCTTATTTGACAATTGATGAGAGTGACTTGTACCTGCATTTCATGTTGATTTTATACCTTGTTTAGAGTTAAACTAACTTATCTGCCTGTCTGGATATTGTTTTAAAGATGTAGCATTAAGTAAAGTTTTCTTCTTTTTGTTTTCAGTTGAAGACGATATGGCAGCTCCTCCACCACCACCACCCCCTCAAATAGGTGCAACAAACTTTGCCTGGAAATCCGATGGTCCCTCGGCGCCCCGCCCCAGCCCTCCCCCAGCTGCTTACAGGCCGGGTCCACCCCGTGCCCCTAAAGGCCAGCCCCCTAGGTCCGTCTTCCCCCAGCCTCCTCCATCCATGTTGGGCCAGCGGGCTTCACCCGTAGCACCTCCACCGGCCCAGAGAGGCCCTCCGGTGGCTCCCCCTCCGGCCCAGCGGGGACCGCCAGTTGCACCCCCTCCAGCTCAGAGGGGACCGCCAGTCGCACCCCCTCCAGCACAGAGGGGGCCACCCGCGCCACCCCCACAGGGCCAGAGGGGACCACCAGCCCCTGCCCCTGGCCCAGCCCAACCCAGGCCTGGAGGAGCAGTGGCGCCTGCTGCGTCTGCTGGAATGACCCGTACGCCCTACTGCGAGGGATGTAACGATCCTGTAAGGTAAGCACGTCACATGTCTATCATGTACCCTCTAATTATGAATCCAAAGTTTTTATGATGGGAAAATAGTGACTGTAACATTGATAGTAGTGATGTTTGTGAAATATTATTGAAACCCCTGATCAAAGCACTTAAAGGCCCACTGTGCTATGTGTTGTTACTTGCTCCCTCTATATAGAAAACAATGCCTAATCGGTGACCATTGGTCCCCCATGATCCTCTAGTTCTTATGTTAATTGAGAGCTGAGTTGATGAGATAACCACCTGTCAGTGACATTGCAGGGTGGTCAAATCCCTCCTTTACACTAGTACAGATGGCCTTTAAACCCTCTGATTACGAATCCACAATTTTTATGTTGGAAAAATAGTGACTGTAATATTGATAATGACTGACGTTTGTGAAATATTACTGAAACCCCTGATCAATGCACTAACAGGGCACTTAATCCACTTGTGTGAACCATTCCCACCAGATGCTTACGGTATGCTTATTTTGTGTTTTGTATTGTATTTCGTCCTTTTGAGTACTAATTCATACACCTGGGTGGAGAGCAGCAAATTTACTTCCAGATCCTCAACCCATGACCTTCATAACCTCCAATCAAATATATTAACTATAATGTCTCCACTTCACTCCAAATAAGTACAATGAAACAATGTTGTGAACACTTTCAGTATGAGGAGCTGTCCCTGTCCGTTTAAGTGTATGACTACCGGTAGTTGTTTTTATTCGACTTTAAATTCTCTGTTTAAGTCTTAACAATGTATTGTAATATGCACTACATCCTGACTTTATGGATCCTGCTGAGTATCGTCGTAGAAGAAGACAAAATACTGCAAGACAGAATATACTGAACTGCGTGTGATGCAATCATATTACATTTATGTGTGTAAGTTTCAGCATGAGTTTTTGTTTCTGAACTTTCTAGGGGCACTTTTGTGACTGCCTTTGGACGCAACTGGCACCCAGAACACTTTGTATGTGCCCACTGCCATGAGAACCTGCAGGGCAAGGGAGTGATCGAGGATAAGGGCAAGATCTACTGTGAAGAGGACTACATGAGGCTTTATGCTCCAAAGTGTGCCAGCTGTATGGGATCTATTACTGGGGTAAGTAAAGAAAGAGGGGGTTGGGAGGGGTTTAGCAGACCTGCCAACCAGTTAGATTTTGGTCGTATTTTGTACGATTTTTAGAAGCAAATACGACAGTATGATTTTCCTCAATAATTTTTTTAAATATTTTTTTTTAATATTTTTTTTGTTCTAAATATTTTTTTGGAGTGTTTGTGCCATTTTCAATGGCAAAATGCCCATTCTGTCCTGTCAATTATCCTACAAGCATCTCACATCGACAATTTAGGGATGTTCATTGGTTCATCGAACACAACAGTCGTGACGAAATCAAGCATATCAACCAATGATCCATAAAAAAAATTCTTCCTGTATGTAGGAACTGTAAGAGGTATTGATCCGCGTAACAGTCCGTGTTTATTTTTAAGAATACAACTTTTGTCAGTAAAATACAACTTTTGGGATTAAAGAGTACAGTTTTTGAATTCCAGAGGTTGGCAGGTCTGGGTTAGGGGAAGAGTTAGAGGGAAAGGGTTTTAGGCTCTACATCTCCGAGTGTAGATGCTTTATGGGATCTATTACTGGGGTGGTAGACAGAAAGGGAAAAGGTTAGGGGTTTACAAGGCTCTGTGCTCCTTGAGTGTACCAACTGTATGGGATCTATTACTGGGCTAAGTTTGGAAGGAGAGAGTTGGTGGTGGGGGGGGGGGGGTAGGGGAGGGGATTTAGGCTCTACATCTCCAAGTGTAAATGCTTTATGGAATCTATCATTGGGGTAGTATAAAGAAAGGGAAATGTTAGGGGTTTACAAAGCTCTGTGCTCCCCAGGTGTGCCAACTGTATACTGGGGTAAGTGGGGAAGGAGGAGGTCGGTGGTGAGAGGGGGTGGTGGGGGGTGTTAGGGGGAGGGGTTGAGGCTTTATACTTCTTCAAGTGAAAATGCTTCATGAGATCTATCGGGGGATGGGTAGAAAGAAAAGGGAAAAAGGTTAAGGGTTTACAAGGCTCTGTGCCCTAAGCGTGTCAGGTGTATAGGATCTCTTTTCTAATTTTTTTCGAAAGGTGGAATGGTTGAATTAGGGCCTTTGTTGAATAATGTTAGATGTAAGCTGTAATATGTCACATTCTCAAGAAACATAAATTGGGACAAATCATGTTTTCACATACTTAAAAATTACAAAACGTGATAAGGGTATGAATAATTTTACTGTATAAATTTCCTTATCTACTTGTATGTACATAGGCAGTATGAATTGTACAGATTGTTAACAAATCAGTGTTATTGTATACAAAATGAAAAGCATTGGACCAAAGAGGTTCTCATGGGGGACTCCCCATAAGCTTTAATAGTTGCATGCCAGAATCTTTCCAAAAAAGTGTTGGCAAAATAGTCCTAGCTATACAGTCCTTAGAATACATGTGGCTTTGCTGGATATATGACATGGAAAAATGTTTTGTATTTATATTATTTGACAGTTTTTATTGTTTTTGTTTGGTAGGAATGTGTGAAGGCGATGGGGGCTGAATACCACCCTGCCTGCTTCACATGTGTGGTGTGCAGCCAACCAATCACAGGAGATGGATTTCACATGCAAGACGGAATGATGTACTGCAAAAGGGGTAAGGAACATAATGCTCACCTTGCTTAAAGGCATCGTTTAACAATGTTAAATCTGAGATGCATGGCCCTACGTGTTATCAGTATCTGTGATATGGTGTAATATTGAAGCCCTAAAAAATTTGCACCTCAAAAAAGTAAAAATCTTTGAGTGACCGGTTTTACCATACTCATGTTTTGGAAAACGCAAAATTTGATTCCTGACTGCCCTAAGGGTTTATACTGTATTTGCCGGCGTTAAGGCCGCAGTATTTTTGGAAGAGAAAATATCAAAAAGTCGGGGTGCGGCCTATGCGGCGAAAGAGTTAAAAAAAAAAAAAAAAAAAAGTCAAAACCAGCACAAATTTGCAGATATGGGACTAGATCTATGAACGGTACAATAACTATACATTTCCACACATCTTACCGACAATTTTATCTTGCATTGTTGACATGAAGACGAAAATAAACTTCCAAAAACAACATCTGCCGATAGATCTTGATCTAAGTTCGTGCCAATGCAATTGCAAAAGTAAAAGAAGGGCACGTTTAACGGAGCTTCCAGCACGCGAAGTCGCTATTTTGAATCCATTTCAATACACAGGAGAGAGGCGCAATGTATACATCACAGAAAACTCCATATGCTAGCATCAGTGCGTGATGGCCGAGCGGTCTAAGGCGCTGATTTTAGTCACATCAACATTTGTACGCAAGAGATCAAATCGCGAGGGTGCGGCCTATACGGTGCTGCGGCCTTATCGTCGGCAAATACGGTAATTATGATTGCAGCATGAGCTAAATCCAAGATTTTTTTTCAGAATCTGAGGCAATGTTACCAAATCACTTTAATTATGATAACTGTTTCTTATACAGGCCTGATAAAAACCTGATTTGAATCGGTTTCCCGATTTTTTCCTGATTTTTTTTTTTCTTCCCGATTTATTAAAAAAAAAATTAAAAATCCAATTTTTTTTTTTTTTTTTTTGTACATTTTTTTTTTTTCTTCTTTCGTATTTTATCCTGATTTTCCCGATTTCCCTCTTATTTTCTCTATTCTTCCCTATTTTGCCCTATTTTTTCCCCAATTTTCCCCAATTTTCCCAATTTTCCCAATTTTATCCAATTTTCTTACTCGAAAGGGGAGAATGTTGTTAGATGCCATTTTTTCACCGGGAATCCTCTTCTTTTTTTTTTACTCAAGGGGGCGTGGTTGAGGGGAAATCAAAAAACCTATTTTTTTTTTTAGTGCTCACTATCACCCCTGCTTATAACACGCTTTACTAGTTACAACATACAGGAACAAAGATCTTACTGTATCATTTACCCTGGTCATTGGATTCTGTTACGATTCTGCAGTTTGGTACGTGCACACTGTCCTATTTGGTAGCCATTTACCACCTGGGTGGAGAGGAGCATTGTAGATAAAATGTCTTGGTCAAGGACATAATTGCCATGCGAGAGATCAAACCCACAACCTTTCGCTTTCCGAGTCGAATGATCAGACCACTGGACTACGACAACATTAAAAATAAAGTTGACTTTTGGTCTGGGTTAAACGCAAGCTTTCTCATTCTTTTTATGCCAGTTTGAAAGAATATCATGGTAGAAATATCATCTCAATAGGATCGCTCTTCAAATTCCCCCATAATAGAATTAAAAATATTCATAACACATGTGGCATAGACAAGAGAGCTGGGCTGGGACTCGAACGGCAAACCTTGTGACCTACATTCTGGTGAGGTATCCGCTAGACCACAACACCTTGACACCAATGTTATGCTGTTGATCTATAAAACGTCTCATTTTTCTTCTCCTATTCTTTATCGCTCCAGATTTCCAGAACAAGTTCCGAGGGGTGAACTGCGGAGGCTGCAACTTCCCCATCGAGGCTGGGGAAGCTTGGCTAGAAGCCCTGGATAAATCTTACCATGCAGAATGCTTCACTTGCGCGGTAAGTTGCACACACACATTTCATGAAATAAATGACAATACTATTAAAAAGTCAATACGTTACAAAGGAATATCTCAATCTAGTATCTGAAGGAAGCCATTACTACACCTGGGTGTGAAATAGCAAATACCGTACAGGGATTGGGTTTCTTTGTCTCAGATTCTGAAACAAAATCCTGGATTTAGCTCATGCTGCAATGATAATTATAAACGTTTAGGTCAGTCAGAAACCCCTTGACTTTAACAAGCCCATCGCCTGTCTGATTATCAAGATATTTATGATTGGAAATCGGATCAAATTTTGCGTTTTCCCAAGGGTTTTTATTACACTACAGTCTATTGGGGAAAATGAGTATGGTAAAACTGGTCACTCAAAGATTTTTACTTTTTTTGAGGCACTTCATGATCATTTTGAAGCCCAATTTTGTTAGGGCTTCAATATTACACTATTTCACAGACACTGATAACAGGTAGAGCCATGCATCTCAGATTTAACATAGTTAAACGATGCCTTTAATGTCTTGCCAAATGTATATTTGTATCGTGAATTTCCTTTTTCTTCTTAATGCAGCAATGTAGCCAGCGCCTGGAGGGACAGCGTTTCTACGCAAAAGCAGGCCGTCCCTACTGCCAGGCTCACGGCTCATAATGTAGTCATGGCAACGCTATGCAACACAAGTAGTATACAGTTATTTATTGGAGTTATTGGGCTTTATAATTACCTATCTTGTAACATACCTGAGGTTTAGTTAGAATGTGCACTAAGATTTTGAATCGCCCATTTTTTTCAATTTTCTTATTTATGAGAGATAAACTCACTTAGAACAAACAGTGATCAAATTTGAAATTGAATCATACTTGTTTCATGTGTTATTTGAGGTTACTAAAATCTTCCACACATTTCAACACTATGATACTTGGTTGAGATCAAAGGGTGCAGGGAAATGAACATTTCGAATGCAATGCATGGACTAATTAAAGAAAGATATTGTATTTATTATCTGTTAATTTTGTAGATTTAGAAGGAAAAAAATAATTTTTCCCCTTTTAATTGAATACGCTGTACAAAGAAAGAGTGGCTTCATAGTTATGTATGTTGAGTGAATGTGAGTTGGGAAAAGGGATAAAAAGGAGACATAAAGTATTTATTTGTAAGGTATGATACAAAGCAAGCATTGATGTTAAAAATGTAAGGTCACTGTAATATTGTGATGGGTCAATGCGATTTAAGATAAAAAATGAGACGACTTTGAGTTTGTGATGCCAATTTGCTTTGCTTCAGTGACGCAACGTGATTGGTGAAAATGGCCGGTGGATATACATGTTTGCACTGTAGCAGAGCAAAGCTTTATATACAGAGCTCGCCATGACAACCACAGTTCAATCGCCACGGTGATACACAACAGTCAGTGGCCTTGAATGGAAATGTTTAAATGCAATCTATTCGTGTTTGTGATGTCTTGTTTGTTATGCTTACAAGCCAATGATGTCTCAATATGCAGATATCTTGTTGGACGAAGGATTTTTGATAGAAAGAATTCTTTTGTCGCCTTGAGTGCCAAATATTGTTGATTTATTTGATGGCGAAATCTACATTTACATGTATCTGTATGTGGGGAGGGACTGCAAATGCAAAGAAATGCATTGTTTGTAGTAGTTGTCATATTTTTCATCCATTATCAGATATATGTCGTTAGACATTTTTTGTTATTGAGTTGTTTATAGCATTGTTCACAGCATTAAATTGGAAACCTTATAAACAAAGAGATTTTCAAATGCAGAGAGACTAACAAATTTACAAATCCATCTTTAAACTATCCGATGGGAGTTCTTTTTCAACTGTAGTGAAATTATTGTTTCAGATTTTAAAATAAAAATATTTATATCCTTCAATATATATCAGCTGTGTGTTACACTCATAGCAGTAGACTGTATAGAACTATTTATTTCATTTTATAAAAACCATTTATTACGCAAAAGGCTTCAGCAATATGTTTTATAACGTAGGTAAAAAGAAATCATTATGTCCGTTAACTAATTTTTGTGGTGTATATTATATGTATTTGTGGGGAGTATTAAAACAAAATTGTATATACTTGCTAGAAAGCGAGAGGAACAACTTGGACATGAGTAAGATTAGTCTTTAGTGCACTAGGAAATATGGGTTCTGACATTATATAATCAGTATATATATAAATATATTTTACAAGTATAATACCAATCGTAGCCTACTGATTTTGAATGAATACTGAAGTACTATTGCTTGATAGTTAAATGAAGGAAGAAAACTATGGACAGGTTTAATGTGTGTGTGGTATGGTAGTTCATATGTAATGATAAGAAATGTAAATATATACTTTTTTTCTCAGAAAATGCATGTGGTTTTATGTTATGCTATATAGTGGACGATGATATTTTAATCACAGTTTTATGATCTATCGGGGCGATGTCTTATGCATTGTCTTAAATGCTTTGGAGAGAGAATGTTAAAAGGTCAGTGCACTGTGAAATGAATAACGTAATGGAATTGAATTTTGATTGTAAAACAAAATACTGGCACTGCATATGGCATCATTAATCTTAAATGTAGTCATGATAGTTCATATTGACCTTGATATTGTATTTAATGTACATTTAAAGGGAAACAAGATTTTGATTCATGTGAGCAATGTCTAAATAATATTGAGTAGACTTAAATATATATTTTTCGTAATTTCAACTCAACATTAATTTAAAGAAAAACAACTGCATTTGATAATGGTGTGTATCAATTTACAATATGCATTGATAGCATATTTATATTTTTAAAAAATGAATTTAAAAACGGTAAATTATTAACTTATTATGTAGCAATAATGGTCACATGTTTGTAATCTTTCAGTTTAATATGCTTGTGTGGTCGTATGATTGCTAATTTGACATTTTGAGCTTATTATTACCCATCATGCTCAGCTTCTAGCCTTTTCGTAGTTTGCTTGTTATCACCTGAGCAAAATCAAAGTCTTCCATAGATTTCTTAGAGCCTTTCACTGTATCATAGAATCATTGAAATTATATGTGCCTCTCAAAATAAAAGATGAAGAAATAAATGTGGAAAATGATGAGTATAGTCTTGGCTATCTTAAATAAGGACAAAATATATCAAATAATGTATAATTATGTTGTGACGTAAGATATTTGAGCATGCATCATGTTGATGCAAAACCAAAGTGAACCGTCTTTTAGAGTGCAGTGATTAATGAAGAAAAAAACGTTAAAAATCCAAAAAATCCATCATGGTGTTTTCTCTAAGGCAAATTACAATAGAAATGCTTTAACTGTCTTCCAGTTTCTTCTTTTTCCCCTCTTCAAATCATTAAGATTGTGGATGTTTTATGTTGTTTTAAGGCCATGAATTAACTGATGATTGGAGAAATCTGTGAGATGATTGGATTTATTTTGTGGGGAAGACGTAGCTTAAACACCTTGCCTTATCCAAGTATGTAAAACAATGTTTCAATAGCATTTTTTTTTCTTCAATTGGATTGGGAAAAATTTAAAAAGGTTTAAAATGGTCTTGATAATTTTCTTTAGTAAAGAGAGGAAATATTTACAAAATCTACACATTTGTGAACACCAGCAATATCTTTTTTATTGTTATTTGATTTTCATGCTAATTTATTGTCACCTTTGTATAAGAAAGTGCTTTCACTATTGGGAAATAAAGCATGCAATCTTTTAGGCAACAATTTTTGAAGAAGTCTTCCTGTATTCTTGTTTTACATATTGTGGGGAAACAGTGTTTCACTGAGAACAGTTAGTATCAAGAAAAGACAAGTGCGAGAGCCTAGAGAAAATGTGTGTTTATGCTACTTATGATATATTGAATACAGTGGTTTAGTGACATTTTTTACTGTTTTTACGGTAGTATTTATTTCTTTTTCTGACTGTGAATCAATGTTTTCAGGGATGAGACAGAGAAATTTCCCAAAAGGAGGAAGATTAAATGTGGGTCTGGAAAAAACTTTAGAATATATTTACGTAAAACGGACTGGTTTTCCTTGCATTTGAATTCAAAATTTGAGAAATTGAGAAATATTTGTTACCCCGTTTTGCTTAAAGGGACTCTATAACATTGTTCAGATGAGGTCAATGCTAGATGTATAATTAACGATAATCTGAAAGTATGTTTTTTTCCTGTTTTTTCCCCCGTCTTGAAATCTTGATATTTGCCGAAAATCCACCCACCCCTTCTCTTTCCCTCTCACCCCTCCCCCTCTCTCTCTCTCTCTCTCTCTCTCTCTCTCTCTCACCCCTCTTTTTCTCTCCCTCTTTGTCTCGCTCACCCCTCCCTCTTATCCCTCTCTCTCCCTCTTCCTCTCATTCCTTTTTTTTTCTCTCTCTCTCTTCCTCTCCCCCTCTCTCCCTCAAGAGGGACTTTTAGATTTGCACGACAAGAACGTGGACTGCAATGTGTGACATCCTTACGAGGCACTGCCAGTGTTTTAAAAGGACGTCACACGTCCACACATATCTAAAAGTCCCTATTACCTGTGGATATCGCTTTAACACTCTTCGCAATCTCTTTTTCTTACCATCCCTTTTTCTTTTTTTGTTTAAGAGTATAGCTTCCCAAGCAATAAGTGCTACATGTCTTCATTTGAATCACACACCTCTAATGACTCAACCACATTAGTTCCACAACAAAATTACTCTTAGTGCAAGCAACAAATAGTTTTTTTTTTCACATTATATATTTTGATATAATCTGCTTTATGTACAAAAATGATTGAAAATTGTAACAATATTTATAAACACATAAATAATTTCCATAAAGACACAGATTTCCTTTTGAGAATACACCTCATGTAGTGATGCCTTAGGAAAGGTCTAAAGGAGCATGTAATTACACTTTATAGACTCGCATTTCATAACAATAATTACTGACTGCTCACTTTGGGGTTGTCGTCAAAGTTCAAGACCAGGGCCCGTTGCACAAAACTTACCATTGATGGTAACTTTGGCATCAATGGTAACTACCATGGAAACCTTGATTTTGATTGGCTGTTGAGCCCTGTTACCATGGTAGTTGCCACTGATGGCAAAGTTACCATCAATGCTAAGTTTTATGCAACAGAGTTTTATGCCCAGACCCTACTGCTTGGACATTAAAATAGTATAATGATATATTTATATGTAGTAAAATAACATTATAATATATAATTTGACTAAAATCAATTAATGCAGATTTTATGTTGATGTTGCTTGATCTATGGGCCTACAAATGATGATAAGATATCAGAAATTCAAATGCAATGCGCCTCCAGTTTGCGTATTTTAATAAAATCAACAAAATCGCCATTATCATCCATTGTAATGAAAATTGGTTTCTGATATGAGCTTCCTCATATCGACAGTAATACTGATTGCATATTTGCGAAATGTTATAAAAAATTCTACTGTGAAATAAACTGCATGGCAGAAGTATCGTATCAAATCATCGCAGCAGATTAGAATGGACGGCATCTTTAATAAAAGACAGATTATGTACTGATCATATCTGTTAATAGAATATAAATAAAAGGCTATACATGATGCTGCATGTATTAAACACACACACAAAATTCAATTAGACTTGGATGCTTTGAGAGACGGAATACTGAACGTGGAAGAAACATGGACGGAATCTCCAGAATTTGGTAGGAAACTTGACAACAAACGGACGGAGTGCTGTGTTATGGCAAAAGTGTAATACTTGTATTAAACTCAATGCAAGACTGTAGAGGCCTATATATGCACGATACGAAAAAAGCAAAAGCACACACTTTGTACAGTATTGAAGGTTTTCACTGTGAAGACCACTTTTTTATCTCATATAAAGAGACTCTATTCAGAATACAGTTTATGTCATCAAAAATGCACTTTGAAAAAGATGACATAAAGTAATGACCAACTCGGTCTTATGTTTTTTGAAACAAGATGCGTATACACTTTGGAAAAGGGAACAGATGAATATAGAGCTCACGTAAGAGTAAGAGTAAATATAAATGTAATTAAACACCCCTCTGGCTCTGAGCAGACGATCTTCTCTGTCATATTACCATGGCTAGAATCCATTACACTTTGCCATTATACATTTTAGAAGCACAGTCCTGCAGAAGAAAGGTTGTGTAAGTAACCTCCTCTCCCTCACCCCTTTACCCTTTTTTCAAAATACTGAACTGAGATACAGAATCATCATTCTTCTCCCCCACATCTTTCCAGTATTATTTGCAAGTTTTCTCTTTATTTTGGCTAAAATACATAAAAACAACTTGTTCCACTCATCGAGCCCCAACAAGGCCTTCACTACCATATCATATCTATTTGCAACTTCCCTGTACAGCAACGTAAACTTCTTTTCAAGATTTAAATAGGCACAGATTCCATCATATAATATGCCATTTCAAGTCCAGATACTGTTCTAACGGCACATACACAAATGGTCCAGTATTATTTGCAATTTTTCTCTCTTTATTTTGGTAAAAATACATGCAATAGCAACATATAAAAACAATTCAATCCACGGAGCCCAAACAAGGCCGTCACTACCATATGATGTCCATTTGCAACTTCCCTGTACAGCAACGTAAAGTTCTTTTCAAGATTTAAATAGGCACAGATTTCATCTTACAATATGCCATTTCAATTCCAGGTACTATCCTAACGGCACATAGAGGGGTGGTCCTATACTCCCAGTACGAAGGCTTGTTGGCCGAGTGCTTGTGATTGGGACCGGTGGAGTTCCAGCTGAGGTGCTATGGGGTTGTTGAGGGTAGCATTGAAGGTGCCCTTCAGGACCGTGTCTTGCAAGAGTGGGCTCAACTGTAAGATGAAAGAGGATAATTAAAGTGTAAGTTATGATTCCATTCAGATCTGGGTAGCGTTTCATAAAACTTGTTATCATAATCTATAACAACTGCTAAATTTCTATGACAAATTTGCTCTCGGCAAATCAGATGCCATGATTTCAGTAGCTTGCATCAAATGTGTTTACAAATGACACAACCTTAAGCCGACATCTTTAAGAGATTTATTAGTTCAAAGTTTCTCCAATGCTATTAAAACACATGTAAATGATAAAAGAGATAAATGTAAGTGGTCATGCAATAGCTGTATGTCAAAACAACAACAAATATTGTCCACCGAGACCAAATAAGTCATTATTTCTAAGAGCAAGAATGAGTTTGGAGACTAATTTTCTTACATACACATAAAACAAAATACAAACATACAACATACAAATTGTTCCTTACCTCATAAGTTCCTGGGCCAGGGTTATCGTTCTTTCTGATTTCTCTGAAACGTTGGTCCTTCCCAACAAGCAGACTGAGTTTGACTGTGTCCTTGGCTGCTGGATTGTATGTTCCAGGACCTGAAATCAAATGGAATGTGATAAGAATTGTTAGGGGTGAAGTTATTGATGAAATGAAATTGATGTATTGCTTTTATGTATGTTAAGGATATCGTCATCGTCACCATCATCACCACAGCATCACCACCTTTGTCATCACTACCATCACCATCAAAATCACCACGGTCATCATCACCATCAAAATCACCACCATTACCATCATCATCATCATCTTCATCTTCACCATCACTATCATCATAACCAGCATCATCACGATCATCATCATATCAACAGTGTCATCACCATCAAAATCACCACCATCATCTTCAGCATCACCATCATCACCAAAATCATTATCATCATCGGCATCATTATCATCATCATCACCAAAAACATTATCATCATCATCAATAATGACAAGATCAACATCACCACTACCACCACCACCACCACCAACCCCATTATCATCCCTCAAGCACTCACCTGGATTAGCAGACATTGGTTGTTCGATGATGACATCTCGAGGCGGGGCAAAGCGACGGGTGGACGACATGAAAGAGCCCTTCTTCCTCTTACCAGCGTGCGTGCGGGGCGGGGCCGGTTCCTTCTTACCCTGGGACAAGTCATGTGATGATCTCACCTCGTACGAGCCGGGAGGAGGATTGTCCTGTGGAAACAATGATTGATAATTGATTTGATTAGATTCATATACAATTCAATCCAATGTATTTATTTGCCCAATGTCATTCAACATGGAAATTTGGTTGCTCACATTGAAAATAAAGGCTCAGATCAGATTTTACAAAGAACAGATGGTTAGTCATGTTAAAGTTTTGCTTTAATTGACAGAGGGTACAAAAAGTCTTGAAATATGTGAGAATTGTTATAGCTATGGCTCACAAATCTATTATTGAAATCTTAGCAATTCTTTTTATTCAATAAACCTGAGAAATACAAGAGATCAGTCATCTGTGCCAAAACTCAAAAACTTTTCTGAAATTCATGGGGACAACGAATGACCTACATTATACAAAAACACAGATTATCATCTTTGATCGCAACGCACCTGTATCGTAACCGGAGCTGGCGATGTCAACCTGTTGCTCTGAGAAGCAAAGTTGGCCGACATGTTGGAGGTGTACCTGCTGTACTGGGGAGTCTCTTTGGGTTGATAATGGGACGGGCCGGGCTGGGACGAGTCTTGGCGCTTGGTGATGGGTTTGATCCGGACCGACGTCGATCCGAACGCTCCTCTCCTCGTGCTCTCGATGTAAGCCTTCCTCATGCTGCTGTCGGCCACACCGGGGAAGCTGTATGACCCAGGACCTACGGTTTGAGAAGGGTGGGAGGAGATCGTGTGATTACATTTTTCAATCATGTCTTCCGTACTGTTAAAAGGCATCGTTAAACAATGTTAAATCTGAGATGCACACCCCTACGTGTTATCAGTGTCTGTGATATAGTGTAATATTGCAGCCCTCAAAAATTGCGCTTCAAAATGATCAAGAAGTTACCCAATCCCTTTAATACTTAACCATAAAAATTCCCACTCCTTCCAACAAAATTCCCTCCTTAGAGATATTCTCTGCTCAGAGGTTTATTTCGAGCTAAACTTGTGATCCAAAACAGTCCGAGATAGAAAATGGTTGATGCTACCTTTAAACATAACATCCCAGTGAATCATTCTCTCTCACAAGAAAGAAGTCTATTTTACCTGGAGTTTTTTTGATGTGTGGTTCTGGTACAAATCTCACAGCCGTCTGTCCAAAAGGGCTCCTCTTGAGCCCTCTGAGTTTATTGGTTGCCTCCAGGGCGTGGCGGGGGTCGTTATAGGAACCAGGGGCGGGGACGATGTTCACCTTCTCTTGGAATCTCTGAAAAAACATGACATGGAATGATAATCTAGGATGTATGATATTGTGATAACATTTTTCAAATTTATTTACCGGTATTCATTTATCGTAATGTTATGAACCAGAGCAATATAACACTGATTTCCCATAGACAATCTTTTTATTCAGATGGTCATATCTCTGCCAATACTTAACCTTTTCAATTGATTTTTGACATATGGACATTATTTTTTATGCTCTTTCAGAAAATTAAGAAAAAATTGAGAAATTCGAAAAATAGATTTTTGATGACGTCACACTTCATCACTCTATACTGGTACCCCTTTTTCATTAAAGATGAATCCATACTGCCACAGGGAGGTACAAATTCCTGAACACGGCTACAGAAGACAAATGTCATTCACAAGGATCAACAAAATCCTGGCTTTTCTTGGAATTCTTACCTTGGCTTGTGAGAGGAAGGGAGGATGTTCCACCTCCAGTCCTTCAGTGTTGACTGCGGGTGGCCTCTTGTCAAACTGGCTGTTGATTGTATATTTACCAGGGCCTGGAACAGCCTGTTATGGGAAATAGACAGAGAAATGTTTACAAAATGGGCGCATCCAAAAGATTACATCAAAAAACAAACAGAATATTCTGGCTGTAATAACAAACGATTGCTGACAGAAAGAATATCGTTACTATCCAGAGATCTACCAAATGAAAGCAATCATGAACTGTAACCTTCGATTATCATCCCTGACTCGCTACAAGAAGATTGTCCTTAATTGACTCATGACAATTCTTTCATTCTTTATATTCAGAAATTCTCAATCATAGTGTGTAAATAAAAAAATAATATTACAGTTCAGTTTACTGTTAAAAGTATTTCAACCGGCAGTTCCCCTATACAAAATAAATCATCAACATTTACTCTTTTTTTTTGTTCATTCCATGCAATAATGGGAATAGTTAAACAAGTCATGAAATGAACATTTATGACATAGCATTTCCATTACAATACACCAAACATTTGCTTCCCTTAGTTCCAGAATTCAAGACAACCATCTGGGGGATGTTACACAAAGCCTCTTTTCAATGACAAATGACAAAAATCAGTGACAAATCTGTTGATAACCAATCAGAAGCAAGGATATCAGTAGCTTAGAACAAAAACTGTCATTTGTCACTGACGACAAATTTTGTGAAACGCCCCCCTGTTGATGCTTCAGACACTTTGATACAATCCTGAAAATTCAGCGGTATTCAGAACCTACCTTCTTTGTTTCTCCTTGTACAATGACTTCGTGGTAACGAGGAATCCTGGCCTCAAACGCGCTGGTCCCGCTCTTCGTGATGGCCGTGTTAACGTTCTCTACGTCAGCCTCAGCTTTGCTAAAAGGGTCGTACTCTCCAGGCCCCGGTCCTGCTTCGCCTCGGAAGTCCATTCTTGCCGCCGTCAGGTTCCCAAAATGGACTCCCTTGTACTTGGCAGTTGCCTTTGTATCGCTCTGCAAGCGAGAAACATAACAAAATCAGGATGAGATAACGTTGACATTGAAATTTGAATTATGTACGACAGTAAAACTGTATCACGTTCTCTGCTGAGGTGTCCACTCACATAAAGTACATGTACAACAGCCAACTGGCTCTGCACAGATGAATCAAACTACACTGTAGTCTGCCAAAAACACTAACAAGATCTGCTGTTTTTTAGAATTACTTTAAAGGATATGTGTGAACAAAATATTCATCATCCTAAAATTAATGCGCAAATTAAAGACAAATAAATTATCATCGCACATGAAGTATCTACATTATGTGCATTCATCCTGTAGTTAATGTAGTCCTCTCAATTTTAGACATACATGTATAAATGTAGCCTTTATGATCGATTGTGCAAAATTATGCCTAAAAAGAGAGGACCTGAAGCCGTTGGTCCTCCGGTTACTTACTAACATCTTATCAGTCAGGTAAAATGGCCACCACCACTTCCACTACTGTATAAGAAAGATGACACCAGAAAATATGTTAAGTTTTTTGCTTACACTTGTGATATTATAGAATGCCGGTCCCAACGATTTATCTTTGGGCGGAGCCTCCTGTTTCTTGAGTACTCCATCCTCGGATTCTTCGTAGCCGTAGGCCTGGCCAGGAGTAGGAATAGAGGGCGCTTGAACTTTTCTGGAGAACTTGATGCGATTGGTCATCAGCTATGGTGACGAAGGAGGAAAGAAATAATGAATAAATGAGAGGTATTGAATCAAATTCCTATAAATAATCAAAACAAAATGAATCAATTGTGAAAAGGATTATATCAAGAGCTAAATGTAATTTGTAATATTAAGATTAAACTTTTGTAAGAAAAGAGAAAAATATTCAGATAAAGGCTAAGTTCTCCATACAATCAAGTTCTCTACAAAGTACATGACATGTGTACACTTTCAAATTATAATCTTTAGAACATACCAGATAAGCAATGAAAAAACTTTAAAATTCAGTATTTAGCTTTTTACCTGTCCTTGTACAATCTCTTTTTCTTTATTGATTTGCTTCTTCAGCCAATCACTTGACTTTGCGAGATTGTAAGTCCCAGGGCCTGGGGTGAGCACAGACGTGGACGCGTCCTCCTCGAACCTTTTGGCTGTGTTTGCGAGTGTGCGGCCACCGGTGATTTTGAGTTGTGCGTCGGCCGGGTCATAGTGGCCCGGACCTGGTGCTGCAATGACCGCATCCTGAACGGTCAGGAATGTCTCCCTGGGTGCCATGGAGGAAAATGGGGCATATCCATCTGAAATGAAATGGAGAGATGTTTTAAAATAGTAAATGTATGCATATTAGTTATAGATCTTGCCTTCTAAGTTCTAGGTTTTAAAAAGAGTGAGCTGAATATATGACTGCCCTAATTGTGCTATCAATGTCAAAATGACACTTGCTCTTTCTTGTGAAGTTGTAAAAGTGGCATTGTTCTTGGTCAAATTGTGATGAGATTTTTTGTACATGCACACTCTCTTTAGTCTAGAAAGATATTAAATTAGTCAAAGCATAATACTACTAGAGTAGTCAAGAAAAATTCTTGTTTAATTTCAAGTCAAATGCAAAAACAATTAGATGTGCCGTAGGTCTACAGTCACAGAGTTTACTCAACTGAATTTAGCCAAACTCCAACTTCCAAGGCATAACTTTCTAAGTATTCCATAATTTTCTTACCTGATTTGATCTTGGCACGGGCTGGTTGAAAGGCATCATAAGCACCTGGTCCAACAAAAGGTCCAGTTGCTTGTGCTCCTTCTGTCAAAGCTCTTGGGGCCCGATCATACATGGTGTCAAGAGTTTTTCAATATGAAATATTCTCCACCAGAAATACACGCCCACGAATGAACGCTTGCAAACAAACTTGTTTCTCAACTTTATGCTTTCTTCTGATCCGTAATTATGTTGTTTAGAGTAAGTTCTATCCACTGGGGTGTTTCATTTTCCTCCTTGGAATTCGGTTTGCAGAAACTTCGATGATATTTTCGCTTAATATTTTGCCCTCGGCCTCTTCTTCCTAGAACTCATATGCCCGATACGTAACGTACACAGTATAGACTAGGCCTATAGTGCCCGCGTCATTTGCCCATCGATGTTTACACGAGCAGCTGGCTGTCGCGAGGGCGTTGCTAAGCTGCTCGTTGGTGCTATATTTGCTACACATGGAGCTAGGCGTCTTTTCGTAGTCTGCACTGCAGACTTCAGTTTCAGGGTTTCTGAGACGATGTCATACTCTACTCAAAGAATCTATGAAAAGTCGAGAACCGAGGCCGTCTGATGAAAAAACTACAGTAGTAAATGGCCAACAAAAATAAGGAAGTGATGAAAACAATTCTTTTTAAGGGGGTGGCAAAAGTTCTAAAACAACCTGATTTCGTGACTAACAACTAAATGGATGGTCTTAAAGTACTTTTGTTTTACTGTTATTTGCCGGGATCCATGCAGGGCCTATTTTGTTCCTGCTTCAGGGGTAAGCCACTTGGGTTTTGCCACTTTTGCCTTTTGCCTTTCTTTTTTTAAATAATGTTAACGTATCCCCCCCCCCTTTTTTTTTAGGGGGGAGGCGGGTATCCTCAAACGAAATTATGAAAACATTTCTTTTAACCCTTATAGTTTTGTTATAAATTATTTGCTATAATTTATTGTTGTCATTTTTTTTTGATTGAATGTTTTTGTTCTTGTTCTTGTTCCGTTATGTTATTTTGGGAGGGAGATGGAGAGAGAGAGAGGGAGAGAGAGAAAGAGGTAGTTTCTCTACGTTCTTTGTTTTCTTTTTTTTAAACAGAAAATATAAGGAGGGTTCCCCATTTCGTTATGACATCACTTGTATTTAAAAGGGAAGTTCCAACCTGATATTAAGGTGGTTTTAATATAGAAGCATGCAGAAGAAAAAAAAATCATTAACTTTCATTCAGTCTTCATTATATTGGTGACGGAATGGAAGGGTTGTATAGCCAACATATTTGCAATAATAAATATTTCAGTAGGGCGGTATGTACGATTGTCAATGAGAGTTTTCTTAAGGGAAAATTAAAAAAATTCTGACTAGACATAATTTATGTGAGGGGAGCTGGAGGACGAAAGATACGTCACAGATTTGACAATTTGTGTTTGATTCAGATCGCAACTTCAAAAAATTGTCGCATTTGCCACTCCATACCCAGGAGACAAAACTTAAGTGGGAGTACCTTGTAGGGTGAAAGCCTTTGTGTTAGCCATATGCCCTCTCCGTGACCATATGGTAGGAATACTTCCCGGTGAGTGAAGAGGGTGCACATTGTGCGTGAATGGCGATGACCCGGGTACTAATAGCGCTATATAGAAAAATGAATCCAGATTATTATTATTATAACACACTCAGTGGCAACGCAGGATTTTGTCAAGGAGGGTGTTTAAAATCGAAAATCGCACCGACCGATATTTCGCTCAGTGGGGGGGGGGGGGGGGGGGGGGGGGGGGTTGCTAGCCTGAGCCCCATTTTTTTTTTTTTTTTCAGTTACCCTGGAATTTGAAAATCGCGCCCACAGATATTTCGCTAAGTGGGGGAGGGTTTAGGGAGCATTAATTTTTTTCCAGAAAAAAATTGAGGGGGGGGGGGTGGGGAGAGGTTAAACCCCAATCCCCCTCCCCCCCCCCCCCCCCACCCCTGCGTACACTATTCGTACCTATAAACTTATTCTTGACTCTCAAGACGCAATGATGGAGATAATTTATCTTGATTCATCTTTATCAATTTAATTTGTGTCAGCCGCGCATCACAGCTGCTTTTTTTTTTTTTTTTTTGTTCTTAATCAATAAACCGTCTTGATCAATACAAATCGAATTTCAGGCTCCAAATTTAGGATGTTGTTGTTATTGTTGCAGATACAGACTCCGAATAAAGACTACAACAACTAGTCTTTTAAAAGGCTAGATGTATAAAATTAATGATCCAAAAACAGATATCCAATGTATTTAAGCCCAAGGTAAGCAGTAAATATTCTTTAATAAAATCATAATATATTTCCAAAGTAATGATAGTAGTAATAATACAAGAAATTAAATGACAGTGTCATTTGTATTATCAATAAATATTATAAATGTATTGAAACAGACTACGACATTTCTGACGCAAGTAGGTACGTCAGCATTAATTTAGCATCTCATTTTCGTACCATTAGCTCGGGTACACCGTACAGCACTGCTCCACCGCGGCGCCGTCGGCCTAGCTAGCGCTCGTATCGCGATCGTACTGCGCAATTGCATTCTCGCAGTAATAACATTTTATTTGTACACACGGGACACGACCTTCGTTCCTCAGAAGCAGCTGTTAGTGTAAATCATTCTTTTAAAATCATTGTCGCTCTCAATCACCATCACTGTTGTTTCTAAACGTTCACAGGTCCTTCACAATGACCTTATTATTGGCCTTATTGGCGGTCTTGCCATTTTTTTCGTCGGTTTTGGGAGAGCCGATAACAGCGACAAGTGAGTTCCCCGGATCAGACTATCAATGGGAACATCATGATCAGGAGGCTCTTTATCAGATATTGAGAGACACAAACGAAGAATGCCCCGAAATTACAAGGATTTATTCCGCTGGAGAAAGTGTTGAAGAAGAGGATTTATGGGTTATCGAAATATCTGATAATCCTGGTAAACATGAAGTTGGTAAGTTGATTATGCAATGCAAATAAAATTATCAATCATCAATGAATGATTTTTTTTTGTTTATCTCCATTTTAGTCCATCTCCATAGGCATGGACAAGTCCATGTTAAATGTAACACAAAAAAAGAATTACCCGAAATTACTAGAATTGACTCACTTAGAAATTTGTTTAAAGAAAAGATGTATGGGTTATCAAAATATCTGATAATTCTGGTAAACATGATATCATAGTTTCATTGTTTTAGATCTATATAATTATATAGATCTAGGCCCTAGGCCCTACGGCTACACTATATTATAAGTCGCGAAGTTTTATTGACAAATTTGAAGGTCATGCTGTCATGCACTCGGATTTGTGATGTTTCCTAATTTTGGGTTGTTTTTGTTGCTCATCATTGGTATTATGACTACCGGTACATAGTTTTTCATCATCTTTATTCTCACAGCTTCTTCATTCCTCTTCTCAATTCTTATATCTTCTTCTTCATCTTTCTTCCTACTCAATAAATATCTTTCTTCTCACTTCTTCATCACTCTCTTTCCTCTCACTTAATACTTGTCTTATGTTTCTCCATATTTTCTCTCACTATTTCTTTGCTTCTCATTGCTATTTCTTCATTGATCCTCCTCTACTATTTTCAAAGATCTGCAACCATGTGCTCATGACATGATGTAACTCCAGGAAGCTCCAACACCGGTGTTGGAGCTTCCTGGAGTTAGACATGATGTAGACCCTAGTCCACTCCAGATTCTGTCCTTTTTGTTTGTATTTGTATTCTTCAATCACACGCATCCTACACACAGCGTGGTGTCTCCAGTCTCACCCATTGCGCGATCCACCAAAACAACCGTCGAAACAGAATGAGGGGAAAGAACCACTGTCACTGATTCAGCGTTGAGGGTGTGTTATTTTCTCAGCTGATTGGGCGCGCGACACGAAAACGGTCCAGGCTGCGGACTAGACATGATGCTGATTCAGTTATTGGTATCGGTAGGAGAAATCGAAAACTTATAAAGGCGCATAGTAGTAGGCTCTCATTGGGAATTCGACAGCATTCGGTGTCTACCCAATATTACAGGTGTTGTCCTTCATCAGGATTAGCCTTTAGTTTTAAGACCAACAGGCCTTATGTACATGTAATGCTTTGCATTTGCCACCATGGATCACCTATGTGGTAAAGTCATTATCTTACATTTCCCTCACCAGAAGACTCTATAGGCCTGTCTTCACCAGCTCAAGATTGCAAAATAGCCTGCTATTTCTGATTTAGTACGATTTTTAGAAGCAAATACGACAGTACGATTTTCCTCAATAAAATATGATTTTCAAATTTATTTATTTTTTTTTTTTTTTTAATTTTTTTAAATTGTTATTATTATTATTTTTTTTTGTGTGTGTGCCATTTTCAATGGCAAAATGCCCATTCTGACCTATAAAGTATCCTACAAGCATCTCACATCAGCAATTTGGGGTTCATCGAACACACCAGTTGTGACGAAATCATGTATATTCAACCAACAATCCTTAAAAAAAAATTTTCCTGTATGTTGGAACTGTAAGAGGCATTGATCCGTGTAACAGTCTGTGTTCATTTTTAAGAATACAACTTTTGTCAGTAAAATACAACTTTTGGGTTTAAAAAATACAGTTTTTTAACTCCAGAGGTTGGCAGGTCTGGGTTTGCCGTGTGCGAGACTTGTACACGCATTTAATGATATTTCCACCAGGTCTAGTTTCAGTGAATTAGGACCCTCTGCACATGAAAACTGACGACCATCTCCCTTTAATTATACATAATTACTTTGATTTATAAACTTTCATGTTGTAACCCTTGGCCTTGGTAGAGAAGATGCCATTTTGGCTTTGGAGGAATAAAGTTCTAACTGGGCTAAACCTTTGTACAAAGTAAGAAATGTGATAAATTTTGATGTTTCGGATTGATGCTACATTGTAGCTCGAAGATGACAACTCATTAATTTAATAATTTTGGGTCATAGACCATCCACTAAACTGGGTCATTTTTTGGTCACTGAAGATGCTCCAAATAATTATTATTATTTTCCCTAAAAGTACTGAGTTTTGTACCAAAAGTTCAAAACTGTATGTACATGTACATGTATGACATCTACTTTATAATACCTTCTTTAGGTTGCTTGCTTCCAAATCTAATGGTCAGTTCCTCTTATAGGTTTTTAGGCTTGACCAGTTCTGATGTTACAGATTGCAACCATCTGTTTGGTATGAACTGTCAGTACATGTGGGTTGTAAATATACCCGGTACTGGTAATTATCCCAAAATAGGTTGCATAGCGCAGGCAAGAAAATTGTTTACTTGATGTTTGATGATGTTGTTTCAATTCAATTTTTTTCAATTATTTTGAAGGCCAAAAGCATTGTAAACTGCTTTGAGAAAGACAGCTGTAGCAAAATAGAATTACTGTTACATCAGAATATTGTGCTGCACATGTCTTTTTCATATACCAAATAGTTTCTAAAGGTGTCTTTGTCATGTGCAGGTACTTTTTTTCTCAGTCCCATGTGTGTGGTAGTGGGTTTTCACAGACGTGTACGGTATATCAAATCAATCAGGGGGGTGATTCATAAAGCTTACGATATGCAGATGTTGATAAACCTTATTATTAACAAGACATTTCAATGCAAAGTGTATTTTTGACTACCATTTGATTAAGATTATGGGAAATACATGTACATTCACACTTTGTTAAAATGTCAGGAAAAATTTGGGCATCCCATTTGGCTCTTCATATTCAAATCATTGGTAAAGTCATTTGTAACTTTACGCACAGCTTGATGAAACACCCCCCCCCCCCCCCAGATATGCTTGTTTACGTATAGGGACAGACCTTTAACTTAACCATCCAAAAGAAAGTGACTCACTTTCGAACCGGGGTCACCTGAGCCAGTTTGTAGACCAGCACAGAGAGCTGACCAAGGGCGCGTTTATCAGGGCTTGCCACTAGATATGTACATATCGTACCCCACTATCAAACCCCACTATACGATCGTGATTTGCGGGATGTCGCGTTTATCGTCCCTTCACGATTCAAAATAAAAGCCTTGTGTCTGCCCAGCTGTTTTGACCCGGGAAGCAGACAGTTTCTCGGAAGTCAACTTCACACACATGCTTGTACACAACACCTGGGTGGTCCTATTTGTATGTGAGGTTCAAAACAGCTTTGCGTTTATCGATCTCTCAGAAACGTGATTCTGGCTGTATGTCACATTCAAAACGCACCTTTTTGCGTCTTTAGATATGCCCATATCTAAAGACGTTTGAAAAAGGCTTTGTGTTTATCACCTTCTAAATTTGCCTGAAAGACGTTTGAGAAACCTCATTCTAGCCAAAAATCTGGTTGATAAACGCAACCCAAGTGAACGTGCCGCCAGAAGAACAACTCACATTTGCCATTCATTGACTCATGAAATAGTTATCATTTCACTAACCAGTTTATCCCTCATATATATATGTCAACAAAACAATCCAACCCTTGTAATAAGTTCATTTGAATGAAACAGAAAAATAAGACAAACAGAGAAGTGAAAACAAAAAAAAGGACCATTAATAAGAGAGTTTTGTACAGGTACTGTATGTATGAAATATGAGATCATTACGTCTCTGCGAATTTCAAATCGTCATTTTGGTCAGTGGATTTGTGACGTAGTCGCAGATAACTCTCCTATTGGGGCACTACTCAAAATATATTCTGGATAGCATATTATTATAGGTTCTCTAAAAAGAAAAGACCCTGAGTCATACATTTTTGAAGAAAAAAAGAAAATTAAATTTTAGTAATTTTGTGTGTTGGAACAAATGGGAAATTTGTCCGCCACTACATCACAGAGACATTAGGCATTCAGCCCATACCTGTATTGATTATAACTTACAGAAAACTATAACTTTCTAAATTTTTGTCTGATTTCATTCAAACTTTCACCAGTCTGCTTCTCGATTTGTCAGCTTTCTTCTAAAGTAATTTGCTATCAAGGTTCGATCCCACTTTAAAGATACTATGTCCCTTTTGCAGCCAACAAATTCTGTAGAACTTTGCAGGAATTAATATCATGTTTGTCCTATCTGTGAAATTTAAACATCAGCAGTGTCCTAGTATTATTCAAATGCAAGGAAACCCATTTACCTTCTAGACTTCGCTGTCAGACACTATTGAGTGACTGACTGACATCTGTTTTTCTTTGGTAATGACATACCGGTACATAAAAATGGGCTGTAACAAGTACATGAGCATTTGTCTACATCACTAACCCACTTCGTGCAATGGCCAAAATTAAAAGATTGAATCTTTTGCAGCACAAACCGTACAATCATTTGGTAAAAGGGTCTGAAAATCAGACTATTACTAAGGTCTTTGCAAACACTTAAGTTGTTTCGACAACTAATGGTCAATATTTTCCCACTAAAAACCAGTTTCAAGCCCTTTCATTTTTGAGGGAGGTTCGAAATTAGTATTGTCTTTCAAATGCCGAATGAATTCAACTTTTTAATTTTTTGGCCTGGAAATGGGACATAGTACCTTTAAAGTATTTGCCGCTCATCTTGTTAACACAATGAAAATATATATATCTTCATATTAATTCAGAGGAACATCTATTTCACATTTTTTCTTCGTAACAGGTGAACCTGAATTCAAGTACATCGGCAACATGCACGGCAACGAGGTCGTAGGTCGTGAGATGCTTCTTCTGTTGATCCCGTACCTGTGTAAGAACTATGAGACGGATCCTGACATCAAGTGGCTTGTAGACAACACCCGAATCCACATCATGCCAACCATGAATCCTGATGGCTACGCTGCCGCCCTTGAACAGGTACTTTATCATTTTTATGAGTATAATTATATATGTAGAATGATCAGAATCCATTTCAAAAGGAAGGGGGGGGGGGGGAAATGTAATTTTTGTACAGGTGAATTAAAAATAATTTGTATCATGGCATTGTTTAACAATGTTAAATCTGAGATGCATGGCCCTAGGTGTTATCAATGTCTTTGATATGGTGTAATATTGAAGCCCTACAAATATTGCACTTCAAAATGATCATGAAGTGCCTCAAAAGAGTAAAATCTTTGAGTGACCGGTTTTACCATACTCATTTTCCCCAATAGACTGTAGTGTTATAAAAAACTGTTAGGAAAACGAAAAACTAAATTTTGATTTCCATTTATAAATATCTTGATAATCAGACAGGCAATCCGCTTGTAAAAGTCATGGAATTCCTGACTGACCTAAAGGTTTAAACTTTAAAACTATGATTGCAGCATGAGCTGAATCCAGGATTTTGTTTCAAAATCTGAGGCAATGTGACTGAGTCACTTTAACAAAGATTTATGCCTTAAATTTGATTACATTACAAAAATAGTCTGTTAGACCTGTAGAAATCTCTGAAGTGCTATAGTTTATAACTTTTGAAATGATATAATACATCAAACAAATATAAGAAGTCGGTCGTTACCTTGAAGGGGCTAAACATACATGCATCATACCTATCCAAGCACCTGTTTTCTTTCCTGTACATGTCAACTCATAATGTCAAGTCAGACCGAAAGCTAACTTGTGATTGATTTCAAATAGGAAAGCATCTGTTCAAGATAGCCTAATGCCTACAGGTGTACATTTTTTATTTTTTGTATTAATGTATTTGATTGTTCCAATCCATTTTTTTCATCAAAACAACAATCAACTATAATTACCGGTGGAGAAAAAAACATAAAAGAGAGAGGAAAGCAAATTTAGGAAGTGTTCCATTTATATTGTTTGAATCGGAAATCGGTTTGGGGTATGGAAAGATGACGGATGTCCTAAAGCATGTTTAAGAACAGACTGATTTTTAATGGATGAGTGCAGATGTGGGCATGATTAAGATCGTGTCAATCATTTGTAGCATTGATATTGCCGCCTAGTGCAGGGGAGTGTTTCACAAAGACTAAGATCAACTTTAAGTTTGACTTCAATATGGTTGGTAGGCGGTTCATGCCACTGTCTGCTCTCACCATTATGATCTTTAGATAATATTTTTTCCTTCAATAATGATTTATCAAAAAATGTAAATTCTGTAGATTTGTGACCATGATTTGTACGTCCCTTGAGAGATCAATGCCAGTAAATGGTTAGAGCAAACAGTGGCATGAACGGCCTGCCATAGTTAAGTCGAACTTAAAGTTGATCTTAGTCCTTGTGAACACTCCCCAGGTATTATTAAAAGTTGATTGACCTGTTGTCAACATTCAGACCAATGATGAATATAAAAGGAAAACAATTATTCCTTGTGCATCTTTTGGATTTAAAGGGTAGGTCTACCCTGGAAATAAAATGAAGATAATCGAGAGAAGGGGTACATTGAAAGTTTGAGGAAAATCCAATAAAAAAAGTAAGCTGCCACTTTCTAAAGTTGTCATCGATCAAACACAAAGTGGTAACTTTGTGACATATCTCTCTGTTTCAAACACTTGTTCTTGTTAACTCTGTACTTACTCTATGATCTGATTTTTTTCTCTGAAGAAAAAATTGATCTTTACATGCACCATAGACTCCCTAGTTACTGCATTTTCCAGTACATGTATGTTTTTAGACTTTTTACACCACCCCAATTGATTTGTAAGTTATATGGAAGTAGATGTATGCAGAAGAACAGAGAGCATAGGTTCAGGTGCTGTTTATAGCTGCTGCTGCTGCTGCCAGACTCTGGAGGATCTCCTAATTTTCATCTTTATAAGCACTCTGTATTAGCTGTATGACAAGACACAAATAATGAAATACCGGTAGTGTATTGTATTGTATTGTAAAAAAAGAGAAGAGAGATGCATAAAACTATTTTTAATTTTTTTTTAAAAATAAGAGTTAGAGAGAGAAAAGGGGAGAGCCTCTGAGGGAGGGAGGGAGGGAGGGAAAGAAGGAAGCGAAGATGGAGATAAAGAGAGAGAGTCGGTAAGGATTTACATGTAGATATTTGAAAAATTGTCATTGTAGCAGTCAACATCACAAAAGTAACATGCACAAATAATGAAAATTCAATGTTTAATGATGATATTCGTAAGGGCCACCACATCTGGAGTCATGTCCACAAAAAAACAATAATATATATTGAAAACTGCATAAATGAAAAAGAAAAATTGCTGAAATTTGCAGGTAGTGTTAAGCCATACATGAAGTGATTGATAAATTGAAAATTTCACAACTTTTATGACTTGTACAATTTATCTCAGCCCTTGACTAATCCATATCTCTGTTTCTCCTTCTGAAATTAGTTGGAGGAAAGAGGAGAAAACGCCTGGTCCACGGGCAGAGCCAATGCGCACGAAGTAGATCTGAACCGAAACTTTCCCGATCTGGATCGCATCATCTTCGGTCGGAGAGCTGACCGGTTCCCAAGGAGACATGGCCTCAACAACCACATCACCAGTCACGTAGACCCAAGACAGGTATGAACAATAGAAATCCAAGTTTTACAGATTTTTTAATTATTTCATTATATTTTAGTTTATTTAATTACTCATTTAATTATTTGTAATTCATTGGGGAGCATCAAGATATGTCAAGATAGATAAAGACAGGTATGAAAAATATAAATCCAAATTTTACAGATTTGTAATTATTTGATGATTTCATTATATTTCTGTTTATTTAAATAATTTTTTTAATTATTTGTAATTCATTGGGGAACATCAAGATATGCCAAGATAGATTATTAAAGATAAAAATTATGTTCTTACATAAATACTCTTCTTCTTCTTCTTTTTCTTTTTCTTCTCCTCTTTCTTCTTCTACTTATTATTATTATCATCATTATTGTTAGTATTAATACTGTTGTTGTTATAAATAATGATGATTATTGTTATCACTATCATCATCATAATCATCATTATGCTTTCAATACATGTACTAGGGTTGAAGAATAAGCCATTTCCATGCTTTATGTTCTTCTCTTTTCTCATCTCGTCAGTTGGAGCCGGAAACCCGGGCCATCATGTCGTGGCTACAGGAGTACCCCTTCATTCTGTCCGCTAACCTACACGGTGGCGATATCGTTGCCAACTACCCCTACGACTCCAGCCACGACGGCAAAGCCAACTACGAGGCCTCGCCCGACGACCAAGTCTTCCGACAGGTATCTCTTGCCTACGCAACGCCACACCCGGTGATGTCCGACCCGAACCGCGAACAGTGTGACATTGGGGGTGAGGATGCCTTCAAGAAAGGCATCACAAATGGCGCCGATTGGTACCCCCTCAAAGGAGGTAAGAAATGGTCCCTATATATGTCATGCCCTGCTCTTTAGGTCTGTAAAGATGAAGTTGGGTATTTGTCATGCAATGGCATTGTGAGAGAAACCATCTAAAAGCAACTGGGAAAGGTTAATATATTCTGCGAGTTTTTGGAATGGTAAATTGTAATAATAATATACCATACTTATGTAGAGCATATCACAAATATGTCCATTTGGCATTTGCACTGTAATAGAGAAAAGGGGAAAAAAGAAGAAGTATAGAGAAAAAGGAGAAATGCTCAGCTTACATGTACTTCCTTATGTTATCTGTTAACATTGGAAATCGTTTCCAAAGGAAATGTTTTAAGATGTGTTTTAAAGGTAAACACCAGTTATGGTCATGCGATTGCATTGTGAAAGAAACGTTGTGGAATCGATCAGAAAAGGTTGATCATCTAGCATCTAGCATCTGCAAGGTTCTGGAATCATCAAAATGATAATAAGTTTGGCCCATTCTTCGTAAAGTTACAAGCACTATACACAGTAAGATGTATATGGGACTACCCTATATCTCTCACAGACCATGAGAGAAACAAATTTACCAAATATATGAATTAGTAGGCGGTTTCCCGGCAAATCTTTTATCATCATGTATTAGTCAAAACATATTCTTTCACATGATTGGTAATGAGAGCTTCCATTTCATTTTTTGAAATTGGGGCGTTTCCAATACTGGTCTTTACCTTTAAAGTTGTTTATAGGATTTTGATGCTACACCATGTAGAATGACAGCCAACAAGACTGGCCTTCTACTATCCTTGTGTTGTTTTTTTGGTCTCATGGGCTTTCGGTGTAGTGAACCTTTTTAATGTCAATGTACTGGGATGACCTCGGTGAGAATGTTAATCCTATAGTGTAGTTCAGTCTTAGGAGAGTAACGAGCAATGATAAGGGAGTTTACAGATAGCACATGGTACAAATGACCCCAAATATCCACAGATCTTTTACACATGGAGAAGTTCCACTTTGAGCCAAAGACCTAGATGTGCTTCATGAATACCTTTTGTTTGCCCTCTTGAAAAGAATTCTTCCACCTGTACCGTTGGTGCATATATGAATAATGTTACATAACTTCCATGAGCACATATCCAGTATACATCTCTGGTGGATTTTACCTTATTGGTACAAATGACCTTTATCTGCCCATGCGCAGATTGTATCTGTAAACTCCCTTATTCAGTAGGCACAGAACATTCATTCAGTAGGATCATTGAAGAAGTCATTGAAGAGGAATCCAATTGACAGGGAGTACCTCCCGGAGGTTAAAGGGTTAACAAGGCTCACATTATCTCATTACATTCAGTCAGGAATGGCTCTCTGTTTTATTAGATCTCAGCAATGCATTCTTCTGTAAATGTACCTGAAGGACAGCCCAACTGTGTGTATTTGAATCCCTATAAAGACCTGTTCAGACATTATGGTATTGTGGTGTAAACCACCTCAAGATACATATCCGCAGAACAGATTCAGTAGGCACAGAACATTAATTCAGTAGGCTCATTGAAGAAGAATCCAATTGACAGGGCGGGGATAAAGGGTCAACAAGGCTCACATTATCTCATTACATTCAGTCAGGAATGGCTCTCTGTTTTATTAGATCTCAGCAATGCATTCTTCTGTAAATGTACCTGAAGGACAATCCAACTGTGAATTTGAATCCTTATAAAATCTGGGGTTGTTTCACAAAGCTTGTCATCAGTGACAAATGACAGTTTTTGTATAATAAGCTACTGAAATCCTTGCTTCTGATTGGTTATCAGCAGATTTGTCACTGACCTTTGTCATTTGTCATTGAAAGAAGGCTTTGTGAAACGGGTCCTGTTCAGACATTATGGTATTATGGTGTAAACCACCTCAAGATACATATCCGATTATCCGTAGAACAGATTCAGTAGGCACAGAACATTAATTCAGTAGAAGAAGAGTCCGATTGACAGGGGGGTCAAGGGTTAACAAGGCTCACATTATCTCATTACATTCCGTCAGTTGAGGCTCTCTGTTTTATTAGATCTCAGCAGTGCAGTCTTTTGAATTGTATTTGAAGGACAGTCCAACTGTGTTTATTTGAATCCCTATCAGTAAAGATGTGTTCAGACATAACCTGCAGTAGATTGGTTGTTTGAATCAGTGAAATAAAAACTTAAGCACAAAAGCAAAAAACTTACTGGGCATCATCTTTGATTAAATGCCACAACTCCCATTTGCACATAGTGAGTAACCTGTGTTAAGCACATGGTGTTGGGCCTACTAACTCCAATTTCCTTATCTTTCTATGCTCTTTAATCAGCCACTATACATTTTTTACCATTCAGTGTAAGTTTTGTCGGATTCTGTGAGAATTTATTTTCTATATTCACCACAACTCAAGCTCATCTTTAACCCTAAACTCTAACCCTGAACCTAACCTCAGTACCTAACCTTAATCCTAACCAAAACTTTGACCCTCACCCCAAACCTAGCACTAAACTTTTGACTGGTGCATTAAATGTGGTATTCTTCAGTTAACCAATAAAGAATAAAGAATCTTTTATAAATTAATGCTTCCTATGAGAAATGTTATTTGTTTTTAACATATTTGTGGCTTACACCCAGTAAATAAAGATCAATTGATCAATCTGTAATTGAAAACAAGTCATACAAAAATCTTGGAACTAGCAGGATTTGAACCTGCTATCTCCTGTTTGCCGGGCAGTGACTCTATCACCAGGTCATCACTGGTCCATGGCACAGTCACGATGAAATAGTAACAAATATACCCAAGCTCTCCTGATTCATTCTGACTTTATATTCATTGGTCCGCAATTGGGTATTCGTTTCTAGTTCATTGTCACTGTGCCATGAACCAGTGATGGCCTGGTGGTAGAGTCGTTGCCCTGCAAGCATTACATTGTAGATGGCAAGTTCAAATCTCACTGGTTCCAAGATTTTTCTGACTTGTTTTTAATTATAAATGGATCAATCAATCTTTATTTACTGGGTGTAAGCCACAAATATGTTTAAACAAATAAAGAATCTGTTCAGTTTATCACCATCAACTTTACCTTTGAACACTCTACACACAAGTTTGTATGAGCATGAATGCACATCACTACATATTTTGGTTCTTTATGTATTCTTAGGTATGCAGGACTACAACTACCTCCATACCAATTGCTTTGAGATCACCATTGAATTGAGCTGCAAGAAGTTCCCCTCTAATCCTAATGACTATGAAGAGTTCTGGGGAGACAACAAACAGTCTCTGCTCGACTACATCCGACAGGTAAAATGAGATTCAGTTCAGTGCAGTTCATTTAAGTTCATTTAAGATCTGTTCAGTTCAGTTCAGTTCAGGTCAGTTAAGGTCAGTTCAGGTTCTGTTCTTTTAATTCAGTTCTGTTAAGTTCTCCTTACCCATTGAATAGAATAACTGCGTAGTTCCTGTACTTAAATGAACGAGCAAACAAAAATCATGTCAACATTATATCAATTTCTCTATTTCATTTTCATTTCATGACAACTTAATTTTTTGTTATTGATTTTGTCACACAGCTTTTTACTTAATGGAGAGCTTGAGACTTGTTGCTCCATTATACAGTCAATCAAGTTAAACTAGGTTAAAGACCACCTTTATGAAAACCAGCCAATATTTCTGTAGTTAAAGCTAATCTTTGATTTTGTAGTGGTAATCAACTATTCTTTTCCTTTAATAATCTTTTCGTTTTATTTTGTTTTGTTTCCGAAGGCACACAGTGGTATCAAGGGCACAGTGACAGATGAGAATGGAGTTGGAATTGATGACGCCAAAATCAAAGTTTGGGAACTAACTGGGCCAGCATCTGAAGAACATTACATAGATCATGACATCACAACAGGTAAGTTTGTCTACAGGTGACTGTATACCTTAAAGGCATCATTTAACAGTGTTAAATCTGAGATGCATGGCCCTACGTGTTATCAGTGTATGTGGTATTGTGTAATATTGAAGCCCTAAAAAAATTGCGCTTCAAATGATCATGAAGTGCCTCAAAAAAGTAAAAATCTTTGAGTGACTGCTTGTACCATACTCATTTTCCCCAATAGACTGTAGTGTTATGAAAACTGTTGGGAAAACGCGAAATTTGATTTTAATTTCCAATCATAAATATCTTGATAATCAGACATGTGATCGGCTTGTAAATGTCATGGGATTCATGTTTGCCCTAAAGGCTTATAATTATGATTGCAGCATGAGCTAAATCAAGGATTCTTTTTAAGGATCTAAGACAAAGTTACCAGATCCCGGATCCCTTTAAAGCCACACAATCAGCACTTTCCACGTGCAGTATATATGCCATAACTCTCAGACACCAAACTTGGTGGAAATACCATTTAGGGATGTACAAGTCTCGCACTTGCAGCCAAAATTGATATTCCACCAAGAAATACCCCCAGTCTGTCAGAGAGACACTGGTTGAATTTTGACAAAGTTGAAGAGAATTATCAGATCCAGCAGGGAAAATCCTGTGTTAATTTTATTAAGTCCAACTTAAAGTTGATCTCAGTCTTTGTGAAACACCACCCTGGAATTATAATCATCATACCTCTTCCTAAATTAATTACCGGTACATATATGATTACTATACTATAGCATTTTAATATTACCGGTAGCTCAATATTATCTAAATATCATAATTGAGAGACCAGTGGCGAGTGCAACTAGTGGCATAAAAGGCCTGCCATAGTTCAGTTCAACTTATAGTTGATCTTAGTCTTTTTGAAACACTCTCCTGAACTTGACTTTATTTTTCATTGCATTCTGCACCTTCCTTGCTCCCACCCACAGCCGATGATGGCGACTTCTGGAGACTTCTTGTCCCCGGTACCTACAAGGTGGAGGCTGAGGCGTGCGGCTTTCACGCTGTGAACAAGACGTGCACCGTCGCCGAGCCAGGGACCAACGTGGAGGCCAGCGATTGCAGCTTCCAGCTAGAAGAAGATAATAGCACCGAGGGCTGCTCGATAGAAGAACTGGAGAGTTTCCTCATGAATCGACTTTATCCCACCTACTAAACCCCTTTGCCCCTCATCACAATCCAGATTAACCCTGTGAAGGTTTAATGTGATTGCTTCTTTCTCTGTTTATTTTTGAAGATTTTTTTTTTTTTTTTCTGCTAGAGATGAAAGAAAGCAATAATCCAATTAGTCAGTGATATGTATATATTGATTATTCCAAATATCATGTCACTATTTTTTATGAAGAGAGTGCATTCCACTGCTATGAAGTAGACATGTCGTAACATATGTAATAATTGTATTTTCACATATTATATAATTAATACATTTTCCTTCTCTCTCTCTCTCTGTCTCACTCTTTCTCATGCTCACTCACTCTTTCTCTATCACTCTCTTCAGTTCACTTCAACTCAGTTTTATTTTTTTTGCTCCTTTTTTTCTTAATTCCCTAAAACTTGTCCATTATATCTTGCAAGTACTGTAAATTTGTGTATGTTTCAGTCTTGTAACTTTCCTAAATCATTGGTGGGATGTTTTGCGATTCAATTTCTTTCGATTTTTCCCCTTATTTTGTAGCTATGGACCAATTTGATGTTCAGATAAACCTGATAAGGCGTGTATATCAGTAAAAAGTGTGCTACAAGAAAAATGTATAAGGAACATCGTTAAATATCAAAGATTTTTTGCTCTATTTAATAAAAACAGATTAAATTGTGACAAAGTTATATCACCATGATATAAATGCAAAAATACTTAACTGCCCATGTGGCATTTGCATTATGAGTAGGCCTATGTGCTTGAGATGGTGGACTTTAAAATTCAGTACTCTTGATACGATCGGATGTGTCCAAAAATATGTAACTACTGTATACATAGTAAAAGTAAGTGTATCCAGTAGAGTATTTTTATATAATTGCCGTCTACATGGAAATGCTTGCTTAGGAGCATTTATAGAAGTCCAATCATTATGGTTTTTGTTTTTTTCTGTTTTTAATCAAGGTGATTCTACTATATAATTAGTACTAGGGCTTTGATTTCAAGATACATGTACGAATATCTTTCATTCAGCTCGAGTCCAAACATACATTCCTCTTCACTGCTGGAAGTATGTAAATTGTATTCAAGTATCTTCAAACACGGTATATTCTTTCATTTTCTTTCAATCAATCAGGGAAAACTAACACAAAACAAACTAACCAACTACATGTATTCAATTTAAGTTGCATGCCATGATGAGTGTGGATTATTTTAAAGGAAATGGTGGTTGGAGAATTTGCGAAAAATGAGTTTCAAATCCTGAATACCGGTAGTTCATGATGTAGGAGCAATTGTGATTGTTGACACTCATGCAAGAGGTCATGGGTTTAATCATTTGCTTTCTGCTTTTAAAGCTTATCTGAACTAGTTTGGCCAGGAGGATTAGACCTCCCTGCAAGGTCACTGACAGGTGGTTATCTCATCAAATCAGCTCTCAATTACATACCGATAAGAAAAAGGGGACCATGGGGGACCAATGGTCACCGATTAGGCATTGTTTGCTATATAGAGGGCACAAGTAGCTATAAGTAGTGCAGTGGGGCTTTAATACCTCCTTGGACAAGGTGTTTACCCACACTTGGACCTGGCAATGCTGGGCTAGTGATGAGGCAGGGCCCAATATTATTATTCTTTCAGATGAGTTATACGTTGCGCTTTTATGTTTTTGTGTTGTGTAAGTGAACCAACTAGTGGTAGGAGACAAATCGCCAAACAAAAACAAAAGATATATATACAGTTTCTATACAGTTTTTTTTTTTTTTGGGGGGGGGGGGAGGTTTTTTTTTTTTGGAACACTTAAATCTTTTTGTTTCTATTGTGGAATGAATGGTCACTTTTAGATATAAGGTTTTATTAGACGACTATATCATAAGATAGTACCTATTTATTCAACCTTGATCTCTATAGTACCAACAAAACTACCAAATATTTGTTTTAAATAACTTTGTCACCCCTTGTGAAAGTCTACATTCTGTTAAAGAATGGAGAAGAAATGTATATTTATTATTTTTTATGACAAATCTATTCCTTGGAATACTTTGTTTTTAAATAGGATTTTTCTGAGAGCCTGTATGAAATGGTTGCTGTAGAGGTTGATAGGGCTGTACATTACGCAAACCAAGTTTTTTACAGCTTTTCGGTGTCCTATTTTATTTTATTTTTTAAGGAAGCTTTTTTTATTTTCTTTCATTGATAAATGTTATCGTAATTATTGTTCTTCATACTTTTCTCAAATGATGAATTTATTACTAATGTTTATTACCTCTTTTCTTCTTAAATGATAGTAATGTAATCATATTATGGCAAGCCCAATGTTATTGCCTGGCATGTTTTTAGTTTAACAGAGGGTAATGCACAACTCAATTCTATGTCACAGAGAGGATCACGTTCATACGATCACCAAGTTAGTCATCTCATTTTTAAGTTAATTAGTTGTGTGTATTATAACTGTATGTAATATTGTGTATTAAAGATTATATCATAGCTGTGTTATTTTTTGCAAGATTAGAGATAAGAAGTATATATTGACTGATGCGTAGCTTAGTGGGCTGATTTAAGGAGATACAATTTATGCGTTTTTAACATACGTTTATGGGGAAGAAATATATCATAATACTGCTTACAAATTATGTTAAAACTATGTATCCTAAAAGAGAAACTTTTACTGAAGTACTAACTGTAGCCAGGAAGAGGAGGCATTAATTTATGAAGTTTATGTACTAGAATGTCTCGAGTACTACTCGAAATTGAGAAAATTCTGTGAGATTTGTTCAACACAACCATCTTTAGAGAGTCCTCTCAATCTCTAAATACGTGTGCTTTTTTAAAAAATGGGAATGGGGCAGGGGGGGGGGGTTTCATTAATTAAAAAAAAATTATATCAATTTTGTCCATCATGTTTAATATATACCACCCTTTTCCTGTGCTATACATGTAGCTACTTAATTTATTCAATTATTGTATAGGTGCTAGATGTTGAATTATGATTTAAAATGCTAAAAAACATTGGTATGCAAATTTAATAGTTATCTCAACTATGCACGTTACTTGATTATTAGAATGATTAGATGGGATATTATCGCCATACAGGGTTCTTGCTCATACACACACACATACACACATAGCATTGCTGTCCTTTGGCGGGGCATTGATCTACATTTGCCACTCTCCACCCAGGTGAAGTAAATGGGTCTTATTGCTATTATTATTATTATAAAAAATGATATTGTTATGATTATCATATTACATTAGGTGCTCATACCAAAGTTGGGATATATCGGACAAGAAGTACCAAGGATAAATCTTTCCTCCGACAGGGGTACCAGTAAGTAAGGGTAATAAGTCTGTCCTTTCACACTTTCAAATAACTAAAACGCTTTGGTTCTCTGAACCAGTCTATTTGGAAGGGTCGTTTTTTTAAGGTGTATGTAGTGTAGTGGTCGTGTATGCATACGAACTGACCAAAATCTCTACCAAATGGAGGTGACCCTTCATGCAACACCTTGTTGAAATATTTATTTGCAGATTTCGTACTGTTTGAATTAGTGCTGTAGTCAAACGTTTAACCGTCCGGTATCCGACCGCCCATGGCGGATTCCATTTTCAATTGGACGGTTTCGTTTTCCCGATTTTTTTTTTTTTATTTTTTTTTTTTATAATTTTTTTATTTTTTTATTTTTTTTTTTTTGAAGTTTCGATTTATGCCCCTCCACCTGGCACTATGCCTGGCAATGTCTCCCAGCTCAGTAATCTGTGTGTTGACTCACCACTCCAAAACTAGAACAACACTCCAATTTGTCTGTCATCTTGGTTTGAAAGTAATCTTTGTAATAGATCTCATCATCTCAATATGTAGTTTATAATAATAATTCATCCAACTTTTACACAAGGTTCTGTCCTAGGTCCTCTACTGTTTTTAATTTACATTAATGATCTTACACATTCTTCTAAAAACAACATTGTTACTATTATTTGTGACAAGTTCACCAGCACAAATCGGCCCCTTTAAATGCACCTCGCAGTTAAATGAAAGTTGCCGACAGAGTCCATAAAAAAAAATAAATAAATAAATAAAAAAAAAAAAAAAAATGTTTATTTTTTTTTATTATTTTTTTTATTAAATTTTTTTAATTTTGTTTTAAATCGTTTAACCGAAAACCGTCCGGTTTTGACTGGCGGTTAAACGGAATTGGAGATATCCGTGATGTTACAGCACTAGTTTGAATGGTTAGATTGTCCTATGCATGCAAACTGATTTTATTATCCAAAAATAATTTTGATTTTTTTTTTTTTTTTTTTTCTTTTTTTCTTGATTATACTCCTTCTTGTGTACATCTTTTTTTCTCAGTACATTCCAATGAATTTGCCCCCCAATGATTGGAAGGGGTATATTACTTGAGAAAATCAATGTCGTGGAAATTAAAATGTACCATGTATTGGGATATGATTCTAACATTATAAGATTATAAGGGTATGGGGGAGGGGGGGGGGGGGCAATTGTGAATTCTATTTAGAATATTCACTTATTGTAAAGTATTTGTTGTGCTGTATATACATGTATAACTGCGATCTAGTAACTTATTTCTTTTAGTTTGTTGTTAACGAATGGAAGGCTGCTTGTGACAAGAAAAAAAAAATTGATGTTTATGAATGTAGTAATGTACCCTTTTAAGAATACTTTAGCTAAGAGGAATTTTGTCATCTTGTCATTTGGCCTTGATAGAACTGTTCAAATCAATGCTGCTAGGTCCAATTCGAGATGTTATGTTGGATTTTAAATTTCGAATGGAGTCATACAATTCATGGTTCCATAAAGGTTATATCTGAATTTGAAATGTAAGAAACGACATGGGGGCCATGGAATTAATATCCCATGTATAATATATACATTACATATTATTACTGTATTATTTATTAAGACCAAATACAGTGATAGTCATATCATTTCATATTTGGAAAGAAGTGACTTCAGATTAAGTGATAATTTTGAACAACCAGCTTGTGTCAATTGTAAACTTTATGCCAGTGAAGAAAAAAAAATCACTTTTGCAAGCTTGGACTTCAAAGTGACTCATTTCTAAAAATATGTTTTGATATCTCATATGCTATTGCAGCAAGTACTTATACATGTTACAGTGTATGTAAACAATGAACTGAGCAACGAGTACTAACTAATTGGATGTGATGTAGACTGCTTCATATTGTTTTATGCACCGCTTTAAATCATCAATCATTACGTTTCTTCATTACGCTTTACAACAGCCTTTCTTACTACACTTCTCTACCCCATCTCTCTCCCACTTCTCTCTCTCACTCTGTCTGTGAAGCCTTTTCTCTGTTTTCATCTCTCACTTTCTGTTTCTTGCGATCATATTCTCTGTCTATCTTCTTCCTGTTGCTCTCTCTTTTATTCTCTCTGTCTTTCATTCAGTCTGTTGCACAGTGCATTCATTCTCTCTTATCATCACTCTGTTTTCTCTCCAAAAACTTTCACAGACCTTTCTTTGGAATATTTTTCCTTGAGTTGAAGTTGGAAATGAGAAAGATCAATAGTTATTTATTTAAGGCGTTAAACTTCACTCATTTGGTGCAATATTTGTGTCATGTCGATCATTCTTTCATTGCATTTTCTTTCATATTACTTCTCTCTTAAAATTTCGCTGAAGCTTTCATAATCTGATTGTCAACAAAATAAAACCATGGTTACATTACTTTTCAGCCAATGCAAGCTGTTCCTACATTTATTACAACCAATGTGTTTTTCACACTTCTGTGAAACTAAAAAAATCCTGTATTATTCAAAACCTGATCTGAAAAATCTGCTGTGTTCATGCAATCGACCAAAGAATGTCAAATTCAACTACTTCATCCATTTTTCTTTCATTTATTGGCTATTTCATCAGGGCTGAACATTTATATTTACAACAATTACTTGCTGATCATTCTGCTTGCTTCTATTTGTGAACTTGTGGCTCTTGTGAAAACGTGTCTAGATTAAAATACCTGCATATTTAGTGAAAAATGCGTTCTGAATTCTGTCCTTTAATTTCATGAAAAATGTTATTATGATGTTGATATGATACAGTGTGATGATGATTATGGTTATAATTATGATGATATGATACAGTGTGATGATGATTTTGGTTATAATTATGATAATCTGATAGTGACAATGATTATAGTGATGGTGATATGATGATGATTATAATGATGGTGAAGACGATGATAATGATGGTCAAGATGATGACAACGATGTGTTGTGAAGTGAATAATTCCAGACCTGCTGGATAAACAAAATTACACAAATATCAGCATCACAGCGTCCAATATATCCACAAACGACCGACACAAAGAAAGTACATAGCTTGTCTAACTGGAGGATTCTTTTCCTTGCCTTGTTTTAGTTGCCTCTGTAAGCTTTCCAACCTGTTCTTCCAAGTCGTTGATGTAACAATGAAGGCCATTAATGTAATCATTGTTTGGGCTTTGAACAGGGTTCCTGGAGTTCTGAGGGTCAATTTTGGATTTCAACATTTTGCATCTATTCAAGGCTCTTCTATGGATTGACTTGAGATGAGTGTAGCTTGAGTTTAGGAACCAGAACTTTTTACGCCACCTTAACCGACTATTGCAGAGTCGCTTCACGTTCTTGATCCAATCTTTTGGCTTGCCAACTTCCTCGATAGTGGAACAAAGATCCTGCAATTTCCTGTCGGCCTGTCTTTTTTGTTCCACTCTCTTCTTCTCACTATCTGCAAGTTTTCTTTCTAGGTCTCTTATTTTTTCTTCTGAGGTAATGATAGTTTTAGGAGGCTTGAATACACTTTCTCTGAATGCCTGTTTTGCACTTTTATTCAGTCGCATATGCTTCTTGTTGACCCTTACCATGGCTGACCAGAGTGATGTAGGTTTGCACTCCAGCTTCACTGCAATAGATTTCAGTAGCACACTATTCATCACTAATCTCAGCTCTAGTATCATTCCTTTGGTCAAAGTTACATGGCTCAATCGTGGTATGATGTTGGAAGCTGTGAGGCCTACATCGTTGCACCTGACACCAATGAAGTCCCCCATTCTCCTGTGGAATGTATATGATTCATTCTAGTGGAGTGTTTCACAAAGACTAAGATCGACTTTAAGTTGGACTTAACTATGGCAGGCCGTTCATGCCACTGTTTGCTCTCACCATTGGTCTCTCAATATAGATGTTTTCCTTCAATAATGAACTATCAAAAAAGGTCAATTCTGTAGATTTGTGACTACGATTTGTACGTCCCTTGAGAAACTAATGCCAGGAATGGAGGAACTAGTGGCACAAAAGGCCTGCTATAGGCATAGTTAAGTTCAACTTAAAGTCGATCTTAGTCTTTGTGAAACACCCCCTAGTCATGTTGTACCCAATGAGAGCAAAATCATTTGGAAAGGTGTGATGAGACCGTGTCATCAAATCATAATTCGTCATTTAAATTTAAATGTAAAGAAAAACACAAATAAAATACATGACAGAGTGAAAAAGAAATGGGTCTAGGACTCTAGGTCTATACTATGGACTTGTATCAAGTGAACATTTCACATTTTACTCAACTTGTCAAGACCACCAATATCAAAGTTTTATCTTCAAAATAGAGAGCCCAAAAAATGCAAAAGGCTCCTCACAATAGTAAGGCCTATTAATAAACAGTGTATGTGACAGTATATGGGGAATGTTGACTAATTATTATTAAATTAATGTCAGTTTTACCTTATTGAAGAATAAATAACCCATGATCTCCACAGCAAAGCATAGAGTCAATGCAATGCTAATGCGAATTGACCTACATGTTAATGTTAATGGTAGACCGAAAGCTTCAGTCTCTATAATCGTCGGTTGTTCCACTGAGACTACGTCTGGCTCCACTAGACCTCCGGTTATAGAGACTGAACGACTGCCTATGCCAGCCTGTGTTGAACTTATTCCGCTAGATTTTAGCCGCTAGGCCCCTCCCACAAACTTGCCACGGCCGTATTGTTATGCCCCCAAAATCCCCCAAAATGTCATTTTACCTCGTTCATTTCCAATTTTAAATTAGGCCTAGGCTATAATACATCGGTTCCACTTACTAACTTTATTGATATAATCCGTTTAATGGTCCCTTTTAAGGAAATTATCGGTCAAAATCGACATCCATGTTGAAAATCTTGCAAGCCGTGTTAAACTCTCGCTGCCGTCAATCTCATCCCTTCTAGTCTACGCCGAAGGCAAAATGATTATGAAGGAAAAACTGTGCGCCATCTACACGTTCGTAATGGCGTTATCACAGTTTTTCCTTCATAATCATTTTGCCTTCGGCGTAGACTAGAAGGGATGAGATTGACGGCAGCGAGAGTTTAACACGGCTTGCAAGATTTTCAACATGGATGTCGATTTTGACCGATAATTTCCTTAAAAGGGACCATTAAACGGATTATATCAATAAAGTTAGTAAGTGGAACCGATGTATTATAGCCTAGGCCTAATTTAAAATTGGAAATGAACGAGGTAAAATGACATTTTGGGGGATTTTGGGGGCATAACAATACGGCCGTGGCAAGTTTGTGGGAGGGGCCTAGCGGCTAAAATCTAGCGGAATAAGTTCAACACAGGCTGGCATAGGCAGTCGTTCTGTCTCTATAACCGGAGGTCTAGTGGAGCCAGACGTAGTCTCAGTGGAACAACCGACGATTATAGAGACTGAAGCTTTCGGTCTATGTTAATGGCAGCATTTAAATACACGAATAGTCAATACATTCACAACACACAAATGCACACAATCATGCCGATGCTCGACAAGTTTGACATAGACCTCTAGTCTATAGTCTAGTCTAGACTCGCAATTTGAATTTTTAAATTATTCTTTCTAACATCGGAAAGTTGAAAATATTGTATTTTACTGCTATTTAGGTGTCATCAATTGTCACTAAACTGCTAAAGTACCGATTTTTAGTGAAATTAGTTCAGTTTTGTACAGTGGTGTTTGAAATGTTGAAAATCAATAGCACAGCTTTTAATACACAGCGAGGATAGTAGTGCACCAATGTGTGGCGCTAGCCTACGACGTACTGCATTTGCACTGGTCATCGAATGTGCATACACAAACTTGTGTGTATGGGGCCATGGGAGAGCCTAGGCATTGATGATGATCCACATCACTCGTATGTCGCCATTTATCTGTTAGCCAAAGTATAGGCAAAGTGAGTGATTAGTCGCTTTTTCACGAGAAGGCAAAAAAATGACTAAATTCACCTAATTTCACTCATATTTGACATAAAAATTGTACTTACTGACTTGGAACAAATTGACCGCGACAATCACAGATTAGGGTGTCGTCGAAACATCCACACAAAAAGCTAAGGGAATATAATTATGAAGATGAAGAAAAAAATTATACTGAGAATATTTGAAGATTTTTATTTAAAAAAAACAAAGTACATGTAGCAGTGGCGAATCCAGGGGGGGGGGGGAGGAGAGACGGAGAGAATAAAAAGTGTAAGAAAGTGTATATTGTGATGATTATCGTATGATAATAATGGCTACATGCAGTTCTATTAAAATGTTAGGAATCTTTGTATAGAAAGTGAAGAGCGAACTTCTGCATCCGAAAAACCAACAACATGCTTATATTGTGTGCAAGCCGAGCAGTTTTGTTCATATATTTTTTTTTGACAGTGTATTGCTTTGGGAAGACTGTAGTGTGTTCTTACATTTTGGTAATTACAAACACAAATATATTTTGTTAATCAAAGACAGGTGAACGATAATGATCTGAAAATCAGAGCCATGCAGCTATAGCAACGATGGCTGTTATCGATTCAGTCCGAGATAAATGAAATAAAGAATAAAGAATAGTATAATAGGGGATAAAGTAGAAGAAAGGAAATTGGCAGCAATGAGGGGAACTCTCACTATTCATTTTTCTAAATGGGAAAACCTGAGTATTAGACAAACAATTGGAACCCAGAGCCAGTCGTCCACCGGTTAAGAGGGGGGGGGGGGGGAATGGGGATAAGGGAGAGGTCGGGTAGGGTAGGGTTAACAAAAAGAGAAAACTTTTCTCTCAGGACAACAGTATAAAAAGAAGTATAAGTTGCTACATTGTTAAAACAAAAAACAAAATTGGATTATACAACTGCATATGTTTTCTTTGAAAATATGAATTTTTGTTTCAAATATGATGTATAGGAACTAACTATGTAAGTTTCTTTTGAAGCCGTTTGTAAGACAAAAATTTATACTGATTTATAATGTCATCACATTTGCAGTGAGAGTTATGATGATTGTAATTTGTACTATGATTATAATTTGTTTCAAGAGAGAAAAGAATAAAAACTGACCATAAAAAAAAAAAAAAAAAAATATAATGACTTAAACAAATCGGCTGTATTGGATGTGGATGGGGAGAAATTATCAAAAAAATATACAGATCATAGAAAAATATCGCCTCTTGCCTACTTTTTGCCGACCAAATATAATGTAAGATTTAGCCGGGAAATGAAATTATATGCATGCAGCTTCCTAATTCTACCTATCTTTCTTAATTGTGTTACTCTAAAAGAAGGTCTCTATATTATACTTCTTGGCTCATGAGAAATAATAATTTGATAGTTGTTTATCTAGTAAACTCGTTTTTTGTTATTCTAAAAATTAATGTGAGGTTGAATGTCTCATGCAATCAATTTGTTTGCGGTTCAAAGTACGACTGGAAATATTGCAACACGACTGGCAAGAATTGAGCTCTAGTCTGTAGTTGCAAACATTTTTTAGTGTTCAAAGATAATACTTCATGAATCCAAAGCAATTCGAATCACTGAAATAAATAAGATAAACGATAGTTTATGCACATATTGCTTGAGAAAGATAGATTTGAGCGTATGTAGCTTAGTTCTAAGACCTAAATTTCGCCTATGGTTTAAAAAAATATGTCTTAATGAGGTTTTTTTTTTAAATAGACTACGTATGATCTCTATTTGTTGCCATGACGTCAGTTTGTATGGAACATCAATTCGTTGCTATTTTTAGATAGTAGTGTCGTCTGCTTGTTTTTGGAGCGGCTGGCGGCGTGAAAGGGTATAAATACCCGAGACTCGCCGGGTTGGAATCAGGCTTATTGGGAGATCTGTTCGAGAGAGCAGAAGGACACCTATTTTCACCATGACGGACTGGAAGTGGGTGCTAGGAATCGGTGAACAACGTCTCATATGATTCAATGCTTACTTCGCTTTTTGCCTGAGTTTCTACTCGGGCTCATGCCTCCTGAGTGTTGTGGGAAGCTGCTTTAGCCGGTGGATCGCAACGCCCAGAAACCGGTCAATGGGGGAGCTTCTCACCACAGCAACCCCGCCATCACTGGTCTCCAGTGCTAAGGGGTGGTGGGTTGTAAGCCCTCTTGGCCACCTGACCAATTCATGGATCCCGTCTGAACCAGATATCGTTTTACTTGGTGAGAAATACCACTCGGTTATTTCTGTACCCCAAGTTCGAATTTCTGGCCATTCGGGTTGGTTAGGTGGACACCGGATTTTATCAGCAACAATATAACGCCATCTTTCACTCCCGGGTTGCCACGTAAGTGTAGGTCTACATGTTAGTGGTGTGGTAGCTTGGCAATCACTATTTTGAAGGATATCACGGCATTGATCGCTTTTTTTTTCCTTGGGGGGGGGGGGGGTGGAAATTCGTAAAATGTTAAGTCCTTCAAGAACGGTTTATACCTCCCATGAAAATCCAACTAGTTTGTGAGGTTTTCAACGTTAAGAAGCACGCCCAGCTTTATATAGAAAAATATATGTAATTCTGGATCTCTCCTAAATTTTACTTTTCACTTCCAGAGCTGAGTTATTACCATAGTGATTCTCAGATACTTGAATGATAGAAAATTTTGATCATGTTGTAGGAAAGACTAGAAAATATTGGCTGCAGAGCAATTGGAGCAAGCACTAATGTTCATGTTTTAAGATATTTCTCTTTCACATGCATAAATCCCGTAGCATGCATAGCTCTTGCAGATTTAAACTTCAGGAATGGAAAATTTACTAGGATATAGAGGGGTTCTTTTCTCTCGTAAGGGAGTAGATGAGGCATACAATGTACTGTAGCAAATTAACCGAGGTGAAGTCGTGAGCATGCAGTCGACATTATGAAAATGGTGTACGACGAGGACATCGAGCTCCTCACAACACTCTACTGGAGGCTGTTACTTGTTAAAAGCGAAGTAAGCACTAGACATCTCATGACGACGTTATTTGGCGATGTCTAGCACCTACATCTTCTAGTTGTCATCTTGTGAAACACCAGTGCCCTTCTGCTCTCATGCGAAGATATTCTCCATCTATAAGTCATTCTAGTGAGTATGATGAAATTCAAAGTCAGACTACAGACACAACAAAAATAATACATAAACACAAATATATTCTTCATCAGAACCAGAGGCGGCGATCCAACATTTTAAGAACCTACAGTGTGCCCCATTTTTTGCATATGAAAAGAGCCCTTTTTACTGCAGATAAATGCCTCTTTTTTCTTTCAAATGTGTGCTCGTTCCCCACTCTTATCAGTGCTTCTTAACACCTCTGATAATTACCTCTATTCAGATCTGAGATGTTCCCCTTTACTTTGACAAGTACCCATTTTCCTTTGTAAGAGGTGCCCCTTGTTTTAATAAGTGCCCCCTTTTCACCTCTGATAAGTGCCCATTTAGTTTTGACGGGTGCCTTCTTTTCCTTTCTAATAAGTGTCCTTATCCCTACTGATAAGTTCCCCTTTTACTTTTTGTTGTAAATAAGAGTCCATTTCTATTTCCATAAATGCACCTTTTTACCTCTGATAAAAGCCCCTATTAAAGTATGATAGGTGCCTTTTTCCATTCTAGTTAGAGCCTTTAAAAAAATCTCTGGTGATCGAATGTCCCCTGCAGATGCGAGACTTGTCCTATTATCACCTTTGATAATTGCACTCTTTTACTTCTACACGTGCTCCTTTTTTTTCTTGTAAATATCAATTTCCCTTCTGATAAGTGCCCATTTTTTCTTTCACCAAAAAGTCATGTTCCCATAATTTAAAGAGACTAAGAGCAAAATTGCCTTTAATCGCCCCCCCCTAATATATTACTTATTAAAGGTCTTTCATCCAACTGCAAAGCATGATGCTTGAGCAGTATCTTGGACCATGTGAAGAGAGAAACAAATATTAAAACCATCCATGATAATGTAATCACAATTGTAAAGGTTTATACCAAATCTAAAAGTGGTATACTTTGCGTTAAGGTTTCCCTTTGTAGCCCCCCCCCCCCCTTCACGAAAAGTGCCCTTCTAATTGGTGCCCCCTCACTTTGGAAGTCGCTCCGCGGCTCCTAATCAGAACACACATTTATTAAGAGGGGAGAGAATAGCAACTGAATAAGGAATTAATTCTTGAAGGAAAAATGTATAAACCGTCATTATTTGGGGGAAATTGCCATCGTCATTGAACAGTAAAAATTTGGATCCAGAAGAGAATGCAGGTGGGTATTAATAATATTATGACGATGGCAATTTCCCAAAAATAAGGATGGTTTATACATTTTTTCCTTCAAGAATTAATTCCTTATTCAGGTGTTATTCTCTTCTTCTTCTTCTTCTCTCTCTCTCTCTCTCTCTCTTTCGCTCTTAATTCTGTTGGTGGTATATATTCAAACATGTATATTTAGGCCACCCAAGGGAAACGGTCAAGAAAGTGGCCATTGTTCTTCTTGTTTTTAAGTCTGTTTTGGGGGAAGAGTCCCTGGTTACACAAAGTTTCCTCCAATCTTGATTAACAGCTTCGTGTCTTGTTACTTACTGTTGTAAGGTCAACTGAAGATGTGAAAGGTAATGCAAAGTTTTGGCTAAATTTCGAAAATTGGGTGGATAGTGATTCTTTACAATTTTGATATATTTGGATGCCCCTGTGGATGTATTATCAGCACTAGAAAATTAAGCCCCTGAAATACTTCTGCTTTCGAGAAAAATTGAATATAAAAATTTACCGGTGCTCCCGGTAAATTTTGATGAATTTCAGATAGCGCCTACGGCCGTACGATGGTAACTGCGACCATGAAAATCTCAGAATATGTAGTTGTGATATATAATTTCCGAATGGGAACAACTAATCGGTAGATTTTCGTCAAGAAACATTGTTGTATAGTTTAATTAATAACTTGACCTTGAGAGAGAGCTATACAACGTAAAGAGTTTATTATTTACAATTTCATAACTTTAGACTCGATTTCAACCGCGACAACGATCACTGAATACTGTAGGACCGCATATGCGTCCAATATGTTCATTTGAACCAAATTCATGACCCCATACCAAAACTTTGTATTA